TATTCTACATTGGTAACTCTCTCAAACGATATATCTGAAGTCGACCTGTGATATACAGGGTATGAAAAACCGCTTGCCACATATTGTAAATAAAAATTTGCAGAATCTTCCCTATTTTGAATGGAACACCCTGTATATTATTGATCCATAAGGAGCGTCAGCGAAACCTTTACAAATTTCATTAAGTACTCCCTATGTCTAGGTTCAATAGTTTTCCTTAAAAGAGCATTTTTTTCGAAAAATGGCCGTTCTTCCTATTTCTCAATATTTTTATTTTGTCAGGCTCGTGCAATAAGGTAATATCATAGAAATTTAGATTCCTATCTGTTTCTTAAATTAAGATATGGAACACGGCGCCACTGTTGCAGGACCCTGTATAAATATATATATATAATCATCTACTTATATGACAAGTTGAACTCTGGGGAATTTGAAGATTTACATTGAGATAACTCAAAATGACTTGCCTATCAAATGTTTGTGGCGGAAATTCTACATCTCTTGCTTTTTTTCAAGTATTGGTCTATCAATTCCAACAAAAAGTATAGTATTTTGTTTGCTGGAGTAAACATCGCATTTACAAAGTGTATTTTCCTCAGAAGAAAGACCATTTCTTCAATGATAAGACACGCAGATCCGAGTTCCAATAAAAAAAATTAATTGCTACCACCAATAATGGAAAATGTTCTTTGACACCTGGCAATACTAGATTATTTATTCACCATCACCTGATTACAACTAAAAAAAAAACTGAAACTCCTAGTGACCACCAACAAAAAAAGTAAATCAAAAACACCATCCTCTAATAAATTATTATTTAATAACTCATCCTAACTTAAACGTTCAAATTCTCAAACTGAATTGCTGTCATAATGCCAAAAAAAAATTGAAGTGAAAAAATAAATAGTCAGTAACTCACTGAAGGACTCTTTTTCTTGTGCTTCTTCTTCGATTTTTTCTTCCTGTACTCCTCGTTGCTATCCTCCGAGTAAGGTGTAGGACTTTTCGATTTGTGCTTCGACTTCTTGTGCCGATCACTTTCAGAATCACTGCTGGAGGATTTGTAGACCTTCTTCTTCTTCTTCTTGGATTTTTTAGATCTCGAATGATGATGACTGCAAGATTCCTCCATCTCGTGCTGGTATTCCTGAAATTAATCAATAGGTTTCAGATCTGGTAGTTTTGTTGGTTGTGCTTCTACAGGAATTCAGTTCACACACCTCACCTACTTTGAAGCAAACAATGTATTTGAATCTGTTGGAAGATTTGTTGCATAAAATGATTATTTACCTTATATATTTTTTCTCTTTCAGAATCGGATTCGAAAGCTGCAAACTCTTCTTCTTTTTCAAGTTTTCCTTTGACCTCATCCCACCTGAGTTCAAAGTCAATGTTCATTTCCCTTAGTAGAGTTTTGAAATTCATCTCCAGTTTTTTCAATCTCTTCGTCTCTTCCTTCAATCGTTCTTTTTCTTTCACCTCAGCCTAAAATAAATAAAAAAGTTTAAGGGCAGTTATACTTCACAGGGAAATACGTTACCTTTTCTAAGAAGGAATTGAAAGTTAATTTGACATTTCCTGCATCTAAGGTTGCCGATCTTTTGTCTTCGCAAATCACCGTTGCAAATTGATCGAAAGACGTATCGACTTTAACTTCGAACTCCTTTTCCTTCAAAATCTCCTTGATGATTTTCTTCTCGTCGTGAAAACGCGATTTCAAATCTTCAACGTAAAATTTGAAGAGATCCAAAGGTGTCGATCCTCCTTGGCCTGAAAGTTTCAAAAGTGAGCTTTACTGCTATTTTCTAAATATTTGAAAACAACAGGTTGGTGTTGGGATAAAACTGCAGTAACATTCAATCTGAACATATATCAATTCTCTATAATTATAGTTTTTCAAGGCCCCAACTTACCTAACATTGCGGAGAATCTAATATCAGCTGAGATGATAGGGTACAGTTCTACCCAGAGAGACATCGAAGTCAACTTTCCCTCTTCATGCAGATGATCCAAGAGTGCCAGAAACTGATCCCTGTGAACAATATTCAAAGTTCACGGATCGAAAGAAATCACCAGGTCAAAAGACGCATATTGAAAACTCTCACCTGTTTTTCCTGCACTGTCTCTTCAGCCTCCTTTTCTCTCTTTCCTTCTCCTCGGCCTGTTCCTTCTCGAGCACTCGAATATGCTCCTCAAAAACCACCAATGCATCCTCCTTGTCCATAGCCAGAAGATTGACATCATTCTTGAAGGAATTGTTTTCCAGCAGTAATACCTATCGTTAATATTATTATCAATGAGATGACTAAATATTTTTAAAAATGCCAAAATGAACTTTATAATGGGCTGGGTATGCCCCAAGGCTCAGAGCCAGGACTCCTTCAATCAATAATTTATAAATATGATACGTTTGGAAGGAACTAGAGAACATACTTGCGCTTCACTCCACGTCGTATCAAAGTTGATTTTTGTCATGCTCTCTAGCACTTCAGAGAGTTTTTTCATGTTGCGTTTTTTCAGAGATTTCGCTTCTTCTTTTTCGCGTTTTGCCAGCGTAAACATCACGTCTTCGTAGATGTCTCTGCGGTCTGAATCTGCTACGTTGCTCCATATCTGAACAAAGTTCCAAAGTAAGTTCATTTCGAATAGGCAAGCCCACCATAAATAGGATGTAACTTCAAAACTATTCATTAACTTATGTATTAGTATAAACGGGATACCCCTGTTTTACAATGTTGTAATACAATTGTATATAATTGATAACTTACACAGTAAAAACCAACTAGAGACTGATATATAATTTCACAAACTACATAGTAAATACGTAATCCTTAACCTCATAATTGAATGTTTCCATAGAATTGTATCAAAAATCGAGACCTGACTCTTGATAGTGGATTATTTTGTCTATAGTTTGATTCACGCTTGTTCAGTATGAAGACATTGCTTCACCTTCAAATTAATCAAACTGAGTAATTGGGGACAATGAAAATGCCCTGATACCATTTTATATAAAAAAAAAGTAAATCAATTTGAATACGCCTATTTTCCAATCGGGTTAAACGAAGAATAAATCAAACGTCATTGTTTTGGTAGAGACCTACTTGCATTCCTAATTTATAAGAGTCAGTTTTCAAAAATTCATTCTAAACTCTTTCTAGTGACAACTCGTGCACAGAATACAAAGGACTCCATACAACAGAGACATATTCCAAATTCGATCCCACTAAGGAACAAAATAGAATTTTCAATACATGGATACATAACCTAGAACTTTGAAAGTTTCAGTAATATGCAAATAAAAAGATAGTTTGGTATCGAATCTAACACCAAGATCTATGACTTCATTTACATTGTTGAGTGGGAAGGAGTTAATGCAGTATTCGTAGGTAACAGGTGACTGAGAGCGATTGAAACAAATGAACTGACACTTACCGAGAATTAGATCCAAACACGTTGTAAAACAGTGGTATCCGGAGGAGATTTTCAAAACTAATCTACTCGAAAAATGTAAGCTTTCCAACAGATCGATTATACAAGGAATGTTCTGTTATGGATCTCAGGCAACTATATTATTTTTGTACAAATGGAAAATATCACTTTAATAAAAATAACGCACTAGTCCGAAATCACACATATGACACTCGAGATCGTGAAAAACTCACATACCCAGTTAGATAGATGAACATATACTTTATTGTCCAAGAAAATACGGTCTTATTGACAAAGCTTGTTAAAAAATCTGGTATGTATAGCGCTTCAAAAAATAAAAGAAAAGAAACAATTCAAAAACAGAAATACCCAGAAACACAATTTGAGCAAAACTAAGTTCACATATCTAATAGATAAAATACAACAATAAAAAATAAGATTTAACAATGTTTGTAGACAAAATAGTTTGTATGGTCCCTTTCAAAAAAATGTAAAAAACAAATATACACANTATTTATGTATACATGTAGCACATATACACACACACATATACATATGCATCATCTACATATACATGAGAATGTTGGTAGCGTATTCAAGTCCCATTTTCAATTAATGGTTCTAAATAAGAAGCTAGGAAAATAATAATTTCATTATAATGTAGAAATAAGAATGAAAAATCTTATATTCATTATGAATACATTTATTTCATTGACTTCAACTATTTTATAATTTCTTTAGCTTCCTATTCGGAACCATTAATTGATGACTATTTTTAATCACTTCATATGTTTTTTATTTGTACGTTGGTGTGATTTCAATTTGAAGACTCAATCCTTGAAATTTAGTATTACTTTTGCATTTGAAAAGTGTTTTTGAATGTTTCCATATTTCCTTGGAATCATGTTTGTGTAAATCAATCTTTATTTCGAAATACTATACCTTTTTTATCTCAAGCATATTGACACATTCATTTCTCTATAATTTGAAGTCATAACACTTTGAAATATTTAAAAAATACCTCCCCCATAATTATACCTCAATACAGCTATTTTTACTTACCTCCATAGTTGAGAAAATCTCATCGCACCTATAGTACTTGGTATTGGACGTTATCAAATCAGTTTTCAACAAAAATTCCTCCAATTGCTCTTTGTATTTTTTCGATTTCAACCTTTGCTCCTCCTTCTCGTCTTTCTGCTTTTGAGTCTTGTATGCATTAAAAACCTACAACAATTCAATCATCAATAATAGTAATGAATGCCACAGAATAAGTTCAGTTGAAATCACTTCATCGTTATTATTTCTACTCGCCTGCTTCTTTTCGTTCAACCTCTTGAAGGTTTCATAACGTGGATCATTTGATATGATCTTCACGCACTGCTCCCAGGTCGCGTTGGACGGTACGTTCTTGTCTTTAAGGAGCTCCTTGAAAGCCTCCATGGCTTCCTTCTTGTCTTTGAAGATTTTCGGCTCGGGTGTCGAATTGCGGGATTCTTTGGTGCCAGGATCGCTGTGAGTAGACATGTTGGAATCCTCGTCTGAAATGATGACTGCTGCAATGGATATTTCAAAGAGATTCTGTGGGTGTTGGTTGTATCTTTACTGAATTTCTCAAGTATCACAGGCACAATGGTAAATGTAAGGTGAGCAGAATTCAAGAATTATGGCAAATTCAAACAAGACTACGAACAAATTTCAGAACATACAAATATCTGCGATGGTTTTCTTGGTCAAAATTCATCAATTCTGGAACCTTCGCTGTCGCTATGCATCATGCCTAAATATTGTCAAAAAAATTGCATATCGTGAGCCAATTGATATGCCGACATCGTCAGCAACTTCTTTAATAGTGATTAGACTAGTCTCCATAAGGATTTTCTTCACTTTCTGAACGTTTGTAAACATTTTTCTGACTCAGGGTACAATCACCGTATGCCACTGTCAACATTTCAAGTGTTTTTTTTGTACTCAATTCCATTTTTTACAAACACGCAAAATAATTTCAATTTGTATGCGCCTCAGCAACAAACTAAACATGCTAAACAGCTGAAATTGTGAACATATATTCGAGACCAGAGTGTACCAACATAAAAAATCTCAAACCAAATGAGCGTAGCCCGCGAAAATTGAACTCATTTTCTTTCAAGAATAGAGATAGTTTTGTGAAGAATTCTGATATACATCAAGTAAATATCGTTCTCAAAATCACTTCCATATACCAATTTGTAAAAATAGAGTACATTTCAGCTCTCCTGCTAATAATGGCTTACGTGCATTTACTAAATTACCAAATGAATTGAAAAACTGTTCCTCGTTATTGACTTTCAAAAAGCAACTCAAAAAATTACTTGTTACAAGATGTTTTTATTCAACAGATGAATTCTTTTCAGAAGATATCTCATAAGAATATTGTCATTAATGTTTCTGTTATAATTTACATTTTTATATGTTTTTATATATTTTTAACGGCGAGTCTTTGTATTCCAAAGCTCTGAATGTGATATTGTTAAATCTACCTTGTATGTTTCTTTTTACTAGACTTGACTATTCCAATTCAATATTTTGTCTCTTGGGAAATACATTATTATTATTATCTTCTCTTTTTTCCAATTTAATAATCACTACACAAGTATTGAATTTGTAAAATAAATAGTAAGTGCCATAAAACTATTACACTGGAATCACAGAAGATTATACAGGTAACAGATTCATTGTCCTTTATTAGCTACAACCGATGTTGTCAAATGGTGAAATAGAAACGAATCCCTTTAAATGTTGAATGCATTATTTCATTCCTCTTTTTTAAGTATTTAAATAATTTTTTAAAGAAAAAGGTTGAAATGATGAGTTTAACATGCGTTGTTTTAGAGCTCTTTTATGAAAACTACTTGATTTTCATCAGGAGGAACATTCCCCATTGGCAAGGCACCATTGTTGCCTTATGCTCCGAGGGACATGAAATCTTTTGAAAAAATGGTCACTCACCTCACGATGTGGGTAGTGTTTGTTGATTGGTAATGCTAGCTAGCACCCTCTTTTTTAATATATCAAAATGTGTAATAAATAAAGTCTCACCTTGTTTTGATGGAGGTACAGGTAAAGATATTGAGGCCAGTGTGGCAGCCATTGCTGCTTCCAGAGCGCTCTTTCCGCCAGGACTGGGTGCTGATGAAACACCTTTAAAAATATACGGTTTCCTTTTTGACCATTTCAATTAGTTAAACACCTGAACTTACTTGGTACGGGAATTGACGGAGACAAAGGAGCTACTGCTGTTGGCAGAACTGCTACTGACAGGGGTTGCTGTACAGGCACGGGACTGATCACATCCCTTGGCGTCACAGGTGCTGTTGGAGGATTCAGCCTGAAATTAAAACGGTTTCAATTTGGGAAAATGATGTGAATTTTTAGAAAACCTTACTCTTCTGCGGCAATTTTCTTCTTGATCTCCTCCAATTCAGGGGGTATAATCCATCTGGATTCCTTCGTGGTGACATTGTGGTAATATATTTTACCATTGTCGGAGGTGTATTCCTTCCAAGGACATTGGGAGAGTAACAACTGTAATGTAAAGCCATTGTCAATTTGAAATGTGTACATGGTTGATATGCTCAATCATCACATTGAAATCTCAATGTGATAGTCAAGTCCTCGAATACCAAATCCGGAACTTTTCCTGAGTATGTAGTAGTATATCATCTATTCTGAGTGGAAAAGTTGGTAGTTTTAACTTCAATTGCATATCAATTTGAAGATAAAGTTACGATCTATATAATGTTGTTGTGAAAACAAACTCTAAGTGATCATATAGGGAAGAATCGTCAAGGAAACTTTCAGTCTTTACCGATAAAATAAAACTTGGAATGTAAGGAAGTCTGAAAAAGTGCCTCAAATAAAAATAGGTGGTAAGAAACTTTGTAATAAAAAAATCCCAATATATTTGTTCATTTGGTAGTGGCTACGGAGACAACTATTAGGATATACAGTTGTTAACAAAATGAGTTGCTCGAAGTGTCATTTCCAAGAGCAAAACTTTATTTGGGAATGGAAGGTTCTATTTTAGGGCCAATTCTGTTTATCATCTACACAAACGATCTTCTCAAAAATATCAAGGTTTATGCATCAAGTGCATATGCAGATGATACAACTTTTCTAGTTAAAGGCAAAGATGAAGGTGACATAAGACAACAGACAGAGCAAGTTCTAGCCGAAGCAGATATTTGGTTTAAGGCAAATATACTCCTGCTAAACAAAGAAAAAACTCAAAGGCTAATGATTTCAAGCAAAAACAATACAGAGGAAAAATCACTAAAATTCCTTGGAATACATCTGGACTCAAAACTAAATTGGAAGGTACAAATAAGCAAAATGAGTAAGAAGCTTAATTCAGCAATATATTGTATAAGGAGAATGAAAACAATTTCAACATATCAAGCGGCTAAAATGACCTATTTTTCAAACTTTCACAGCATAGCAACTTACGGAATCCTTTTGTGGGGCACAAGTTCTGATTCAAACAAAATATTTGTTCAGCAAAAAAAAGCCATCAGAATTCTATGCGGACTTGCATATAGAGATAGCTGCAAAGAGGCTTTTCGTCAACAAAGAATCATCACCATTCCCAGTGGATATATATATAGTTGTCTAAAATATGTTCACGCAAATCCAGAGATGTTCTCAAAAAATGTACTCAATCATTCTTATGATACCAGAAATAAAGATTTACTGCAAGTTCCTCTTCATCGATTGAAGAAAACACAGCAAGGATGCGATTATTGGGGCGCAAAATTATATAATAAAATTCCAGACTTTGCAAAAAAGAAACACTCGAATGAATTCTCCATCTGGCTGAAAAATGTCCTAATAGAAAAATGTTTCTATTCAATAGAAGATTTTATAAATGAATAATACATGTACTACATCTCTTGTAGGTTTACATGTGTATGATAATTTTGTATATATTTATTTATTTTATTTTGATCTGTGCATCTCTGTGTATATGTATTTTAATTTTAATACTAAGGAAATAACGACGTTGTAATGTTTCATTTACAATGAATAAATTGATTGATTGATTGATTGAAGAGTTCACACATGGTGAAATAGACTTAGAGTAACATATCGATTATGTGACAAACGCGAAGAAAATGTCAGCCTAATTTTATTCATTTATTTATTGATAAGTAATTAATATCAAGCCCCTGTCTGAGAAAGTAACAAAAACTGTACTGCTACTCAATTTCCAATTGGAGTACCAACAATTTTTTCTCAAATTTGATATTGGAGAAAATGGTGAAATTCGGGATGAAGGAGAGTTCATCTGATGTGATAGCTGCTGCCAGGAAATGTGCAACCGTTTCATTACAGAGGCAATAGTAATGAATCTGAGAGGAGAACGCATAAATAAGCTTATAACAGCCGACATAGTCTGAATAATCCTTTAAATTTTATATGTGAACGCTCATAAAGAAAAGTTCTCTCAAGTGAAATAATTAATAGAAGCATATCACGTAGTTGTGGAGTGTTGCCTGTCGATCAATTATGTATAATATCCAGTTCTATATCTGTGGTCTACAAAAAAAAATAATAGCAAAAATATAGATGGCACAAAAACTTTGAATGATAAAAACAGTCCAACAGAAGAAAAAGTCTATCAACATCCAGATAAAGAAGTAATTGTCTAGTGGCGTAGGTAACTCAATTATTAATGTTGCCTTTATTGAATAATGTCGTCTAACTTCAAATGTTGTAAAAATAAGGAACTTTCAGTAGTATGCTGTTTACAATGTTATAACATTTTCCATAGCAGCTGTCTAGATAGGAAAAAATATGCAACGAATGTGGAAGGTCACAAAATCATATGTTCGAGAGAATGTTCCAACGCAAGAACCAGGGAGGGAGAGAATCGTGCGGCACTTGAATCTCATATGGTAAAACTAAAAGAAGAAATAAAATTGAAAGACTCGGGGGCAGCAACTAATAATTTCAAATACGAAGAAAAACTAGAGCATCTAATCGATACAGAGAAAAGGATATGTTCATACAAAGACTACGAAGATCCTCACTAGATCTACAAGATGTATTTACTGATACGGAACAAGGCTGTATCAAGGACATAAACGAATATAAAAGGAATATTGATGAGCTGAAGATAGAAAACGTAGCTATGCTGAAAAGAAATAAAGAGCTTTTTGATAAAAATGAGGAAAAATCTAAAGAGCTACAAAGATTAATGAATGAAATTGAAGAATTCAACATCATCAAAAATAATATGCTAACATCAATTGAAACACTCACAATGGACAATATGGCATATGTGGAGGAACTGAAGCTACTTAAACTGAAACAGACGACTTACAACAACGAAATAGAAGGTAGGAACATTAATATAACAACACTCACTCACCCTTGTAAGCCTGAAATAACATGTCAACGAACCAATACCTCTTTGAAAACAACCAATAGAAGAATTTTGATAGTATCGAATGTCCATGGTAAAGACTTAGCTCATTACATGTCTAATAAAACGTTATTTTATTCTGTATCTTCTATTGTGAAGCAAGGAGCCTGTGATAGAGAGGTAGCTCGAACTGCGCTCCAATTATCTAACAATTCCACCCTCGACGATATTGTCATTCTGTGGACAAATCAAGTTAACCAGATGATAGCTAAGGAATTCGTCGAACAATCTGCTCACATCCGAAGGATAATTATTTCAGAGCCATTTAGATACGACATTGCACATATAAATCAAGAAATTTATGAAAGTAATTTGAATTTCAAAAAATATCTCTCTAGACTTAGCAGTTGTACAGCACGATTCTTTGAGTGCAATGTTATTCGCAAAAAAAACTACAACAATGATGGTTTTTCACTAAAAAAAGTTCCAAAAACTCATATTGCCAAAGCACTAATGGACCTCATTGATAATTGGGATTTATAAACAATCAAGTAATGATTACTGTGTGACAGGAATCACTCAGGAACAGTTCAAGAACACTGATACTTATTGTTCATCAAAAACTATACCTTTTTTATAGGTAAAGTCAGGAGTGAACAGTCAATGTCTTTGATGTTACTTAATATTCAATCAGCTAGGAACAAGAGTAATGAACTTTATGCATTTTTGACTAGTATAGGTGAACCTGACATTCTTTTATTAACTGAGCATTGGCTAAAAGCTGACGAACTTTTTTTCTTGGCTGATTATTTAACTTTATCAATTTACTGCAGATCTGAATTTCTTCATGGTGGTACAATACTTATTAAAAAATCTCTTTCTGAGAAGCTAAGATTTGAGAACATAAATTTTACAAGTTTAACTATTGAAAAATCATTTGAGATTTCAGTTACATATTGCAAGCAAATCAATATGTATATTTTATGCATTTACAGGGCTCCATCATCTGATATAGACCTGTTTTTCAATCATTTGGAACAGGTTCTTGATCAGTTACCAATTTTTTCTACTATGATATTAACTGGTGACTTCAATATTAATTACAGTGAGACTTCCCATCAAACACAATATTTGAATAATCTCCTTGATTCATATAACCTAATGATGCATATTGACTCGCCAACAAGAATCTCACAGTATTCAGAATCAACTATTGATTACATCTGCTCTAATATGAATGATGATTCTATATCATGTAAAGTATTACCTTCAGGCCTTTCTGATCATGAAGCCATAATGTGTATCTTAAATATTAGCTTGGACAAGAATCAAAAGAATCATAGGTTAGGAAGAATATTTAGTAAAAGTAAAAAAATGTTCAAACATCGACTGGGGAAAGATTCTTTCACTCCATGAAAATATTCAGTTCTCAGAGTTCCATAATTCCCTTTTATATGTCTTCAACGAATCATTTCCAATTCGAAAAATTAAAACTAAGAAAAAAAAAATTTGGATTACTAAAGGTATTTAAATATCAGAAAAAAATTTGCGTTGCTTGCATTATTTAAGAAAATATACCAAAGATGAAAGTTTTCACAACTATTTCTCCCAGTATCGAAATATTTATAGGAAAATAATTAAACAGGCTAAACAGTGCCATTATAAAAATAAAATAATCGAATCGGATAATAAAACCGTTGAAACTTGGAAAATAATTAACGAACTTAGAGGAAAATCGGCTAGAAATAATAATCTACCTATTTCACCTAATACTTTGAATAATTATTTCTGCTCAGTCGCTGGTAATATAAAAAAAAAACATAACATCAAATGATGATCCCCTAGAGAATTTTGAACGATTCAAAGTAGTAGAAACCTTTGTCTTGCATGAAACCTAACTTCAAGAACTAAAACAAATGGTATCTATAACCAAAAATAAAAAAACATCTGGGATTGATGAAATCTCCATAAGTATTATTGAGAACCTTCCTGATGAAGCACTTGAAACACTCGTTCACCTGACAAACCAATCTTTCAACACTGGAATATTTCCGGAACAATTGAAAACGTCAGTAATAGTACCATTACATAAAGGAGGTGACCCTAATGATCCCTCTAACTATCGTCCAATCGCACTTATTCCTGCTATTGCTAAGCTCATTGAAAAATTGGTGAAAGTAAGAATCATAAACTTTCTCAACAAACATAATATCATCAGCAATTCACAATTTGGTTTCCAAAATAATAAAAATACAATCGATGCCGTTTTTAACCTACTATATGATATCTATACTGAAATCAATGAGGGTGAGGTAGTTGCGGCAGTGTTCTGTGATTTCTCCAAGGCTTTCGATTGTGTTGATCATAGAATACTGCTGCAGAAGCTGAACTATTATGGTTTTAGGGGACTTTCATACCAGTGGATTGAGTCCTATTTATTAAATAGAAATCAAATTGTCAAGTCTACAGAATCTTCCTCATTAGAAACAATTAGATCTGGCGTTCCACAAGGGTCTGTCCTAGGTCCAGTTCTTTTTCTATTATATATAAATGATTTGACAAGTATACATATATCCGGTAGATTCACATTATTCGCCGATGATACTACCATCATCTGGCACAGTCCGTCTCTCCAGAATTTAAATAAAATAATCATTGAAGATATATCCAAAATTTCCAAATGGTGTGAGTGTAATATACTTTCTTTTAATATTAAAAAAACAAATCTAATTACTTTCAAATGTACGCTTAATGATATCAATATTGGAGTAAGTAGCATTGAAAGTAAGGGATATACTAAATACTATTTATTGATGGTAAGCTAAAATTTGATGAACATATTTTAGCATTAAGAAAAAACTTATCATCTGGGTGTTTTGCTGTTAAATTGGTAGCCAAGGAATTAGATTTGCAATCGACAAAATTGATTTATTATTCTTTAATCGAATCCCGCTTGCGCTACGGTATTGCATTTTAATGTATGTACTATGCATGTGTATGTCTGTTGGTGTGTGTGTACACACACCTTGTACTAATTTTAATATTTTATATGTATTATTTTGTACTATTTTTAAGCTTTGTAACCATGATTTATCATGTATACAATAAAGCATATTCTCTCTCTCTCTCTTATAATTTTTGTGATGATTGAATGCATTCACGAAGATAAAACAGCTGTTGAGAAAAATTTCATTGACCGAAGCAGAAATTCAAACAATGAAAATAGAAATGAATGGAAGAGAGGAAAAATTAGAAACAGAAAATGAAGCAATTTAAAGAAAAATGAGAAAGTAAACCATACTTTGTTTCTTTATAGTAAAAAGTAATAAATGCTCATTATAAATGCATAGCACTATCGGAGTGCTAAAACAAAATTTTGTGATATCGTTAAGATTTGCCACAGCTGGTATAGGCCGGTTTATAATACTTTACCGAGCCCGTCCTATTGTTATATCACAAATGGGTCTCAATCAATAGATTCAAAGACCACTCTGGTTGTTTTATTATCTAGAGTGGCGTGTGTTTGCATATTGAACTATTCAAAAATATTTATTAAATTCATATACAATTATAATTGTTATGACATTTAAGGCAAACTATTCCAATTTTAGATATTTATTTAGATATTGAATTTTGAGCAAAAATTATGGTGTTTTTTAATTAAACGTGCAAGCTGTGTAACCAAATAATATCCCCATCCAGTGGTAATAGTATGCACCCAGTTGAAATATTTACTGCTGTCATATCCATGTACATAAACAATACATTTTTCTTAAGTATAGTTATTAGGTTCAGTTCTTAGGTATATTTAAATAAACTGGCTATGAAACAGAAACCTAACCTCTGCAGGTGTCTTCAACTGGTCAGGCTTCTGCCAGGAACTCTGTTTGGTAACGGAGTTATAGTAATAAGTCCTTCCATCAGGAGCCTTATGCTCGGTCCATTCGTTAGCTGGGTTAGCTGCCGGCAATCCCCCAGGCGGCGCAAATCCCCCAAATCCTGGCGGAGGTACACTAAAAGAGGGAATAATAGGAGCAAACCCTCCCATTCCAGGCATTGGGACTTGGGGCAAAAGTGGCGGGGTACCGATTCCCGGAGGAGGAACAAATCCTTGAGGCGGTAGGTTTGGATCCTAAACATAAAAAGAACATAACCTATTTGTTGATAATATTCACACTACCCACCATTATTATCTGCTGCTCTTACGCTAAATTGTAAATTTAAAGCTGTATGTCCATTACAAATACTTTCAGATCAATTTCGATTTTTATTATTATTTAACTCAAGGAAATCTTAAAAACTCATCCAATCAAAATTTGACAGAAGACAGAATATGAAAACACACATAGTAGTCATCTTCTCTTCTTGGCTATTGGATTTGGCTTGTAGGCCATTATACCCACTCACAGTAGTCATAGTTTATAAACATGACAAGTTGGATTGGTCTTCAGAAAGAGAACATTCACGAACAAACCAAAAAAGGATAGATGCATGGAGAGGCAAATATTTCTTACGGAAAATATGAAAGCATAATCGAATGAGTTGTAAGTTTTCAAATGATAAGCGAGTAACTACACCGTTTTGGTTTTATCAGTATGGAATCTGCGTGTGAGATAAGTTTTGTTATGGGAGATTCTCACATTTTTTGTATAAGAAGATGGAGAAGTAAAGCCAAAAAGTTTCATTCCCAAGACTTGCTTGTCTTGTTTCGAAATGGTATTTTCTTTTCGAAGTCAATTTGGCTATTCAATCACCTACTAATTAGTTTAGGATGTGTCTCACGCTCGTACCTTGTTGAAACGACATAGTTCAGTGGATAACGCACCTAGATACACCGTTGAAAGATATCTTAATATTGAAGTGGGAGAAGAGGAACGTGAAATAACATCACTGGTAGAAGACCGCATATTCTACCATCCGTGATAACGTACACTGCAATACATTTTTTTGCCTCAGTTTCAAATTTAATGCAGGATGCTACTATCGACATTATGCAGTAGATGACCTATATAAACATGCATCGTCAACAGTCAATATCCCTTCCCGGATCTGGAAACCACGACATGTATCTTTCATATGTCGTGTTCAATTCTGTAGCGAAACAATCAATATTCGTTTTTCCGAAATATTTTTTGATTTCATGTAATGCTCAATTTTCGAGTTCATATTCAGTCTTGATAGCTAAAGAACATGACTTTCTGTCCGCTTCATTATTTTCATCTGGTGATATGTAAGATGCAAACACCATGGTACGTCGTACATCATAAACACCTTGTAACTGAATTTAATTGTGTAGATTTCACGCTTCCCTTGTGATTGACACAGGATATTGCTTTCAATGTTATTAATTCTCAAAAGGATTCGAATATCGTTTGGGTTTTTAACAAATAACTGTTAACCGTATAAAGCAGCTGTTATTTTTCAATATTCAATATGTAGAAATATTTCTATCTTTTTCATTATGGATTTAATGTATCCGTTTAAATGAATATGTGTTTTCCACCACAACTATTAAGATTTGATATCGTTTGAAATGTTCATTATTCCGTTATAGTTTCCTCCATTATTTTCAACTGTAAATATTATTTTCTTCCTAATGGCATGCAATCATCCATAATTCAGTTACAACAGGACATATGATGCCACTAACGTCCCAGTCAATTTTGCAATTTTGCGTATTATAATTGTTTTGATAATTTTGGAGATTCTTTCTTCAGGTAAAGTAACTGGCATTTTTTGAACTATATAAAAAACCCAGAAACTTCAAACGTTTCGAGTTGGAAACAAATTACTTTTCTAGAAAAAGATCAGGAATCCCAATTCCTATAATAAAACAGTCACAATAACCAACGTATCTTCTCTACATTCATTTTCTGTTCTAGAAATTATCAAAATTTTATCTGGATGAGCTAACAGAAACAATTGCACACACAACGCCCTCGATTCTCCCAATTCGTTTCGGATATCCGTTCAAATAGCACCTGATTTAACTTTCAAAATTGCTTTTCCTTCGATTATTCATCTAGTATTATCTTTCAAAAAACGGATTGTTTTCATCAACAATACTGTCTCGGTTGAAATTTCTAGAGAGTTTCCGTTGAAGTAATGAATGAATTATTCTTTAGAGATACTAATTGTCATCGCCACCTTGTTACAATAGTCACTGCAACAATGACTGGATAATGGGCAAGTGCCACAATCGTTGAAGAACAGAGAAGAAAACGTACTTTGGCTTATGCAAAGCTAACTTCATGTTATTTAGTATTTTTGTCAGAAAGAGCGATAAAAGTCGTAAAATTCATCACACGATTTTGTAATTTGGTTGTACTAGAAGGGAATATTATATTATGTGAATACCCCTTTCAAAAGTCAGCAATCTTGTGCCAAACTGTACCAAAACATCTCTATAAAAGAATTGTTCTTCTCATTTACGTTGTAAGTACCGATATACTCTGCTATGCCTACATTTACAATCGATACTTCTTGATTTGATTTCTGATCATATTCTTCATTCATTAGAAAACATTCGTAAAAGAAATTCAAAATAAAGGATGAATAACACTGATTACTCACATTTTTGGCATTCAAAAGTGTTGTGAACATCTTTTAAATTTTATATTTAAAATTTCCATTATTCAAAAAATACTGAAAAGGCCAGTTTGATTCATAATAGATTTCATTTATCTTTGTATTCCTGATGATGCTAACTACTCGTATCGCCGAAACGTTAAGAATTTCACTAAAAACAGTCAGCAATACTGAAAAAAGGAGTATTGTCAGTGACAGTTTGAATTAAGCAATTTTAGAGGTAGTGATGATGACTCCTCTTATGAAAACGCCATCTGTGGGATTGATAGAGAAATTACCTTGAACATCAAAAATAGAAAGCAGTCTCTGGGTGGCTCATCGGTCCCACTGTCCTCAATGTCTCCTCCTGTCAAATCGTGAGGCATCCACTTTTTGATCATTCCTATAGCTGTTTCAGACATGTCTTCACTAATTGAAGTCTACATATTCGATGCCTTATATATTTTTTCACAATTTGAAGTACCTCAATTTTAAGTATCCCAGTTTTTACCTAGTGAACTAGACTATAACGTCAAGTGAAGGAATAAAACAAAACATTCATCAAAGATAAAATGTAATTGTAAATTAACCTCAGTCTATAAAATTCGCAGTACTCCTATAAATCTTTGCAGTCTTTTAAAATACAACCAGTATATGTACAGCATAATAATAAAGGAACTAACATGAAAAATTCTGTTCAGATTCGCTGGTTTTGATAAAAGTGTTGTATGTTTTTGCAATCTCTTTAGCTACCACCAAAGACCTCCTGTGAAGCGTAAGTGACGTAGAGGTATCCATCAGGGTTAGCATGGTTGGAGTAGACTTCAGCCATCGTTAAGGACAGACTGACCATAACGTTTTCGTTTACCATGAGGTATAAAGCCTGGTGGGAGTGTACTCGAACTCTGTTTCTGAAAACATAAATTATTCGTATTAAAATGAATAGAAGCAAATAATCTATGTCGGATAAAAAGTGTTATATGGGTGATATAGTCATATGGATCGGTAGTAATATTGAAAAAATTCTTTTCAAAGAATTAAACTAAGTAATTTGTTGACAAAAAATTGAAAAATGACAATGTTTTTATTTTTCCAACGTGAAACTATTCGTGCCAATTTTGAAATCTACAGTTACTGAAAATCTGTTGATACTGATAACTTTGTTGTTTTTCAAAATAGATGTCAGTTTCTAAGTCATAAGTTAGCAAGTATCGGTACTTCAAAGTACAACACTGGCCATACGATTCTTACCTGATAAGGATCATAAATTGTGACATCGTTAATTCCTTAGGTACCAGAAACTTTTGTTTATTGATGTGTGGCAAATGGTGCTCTTTCGAAAATCTCTGAACTATAACCTACAAGAGAAAAATATAGTTACAATTAGAATGAATGGATTATATTTTCGGAAAAACCACTTTTCAATCAATTCATAGAAAAATAATTATTTTCTCAAAAAGGGTAATGACATTATTCATCCCAAATGCATTGACTCATGACTGAAAAATGTTTGAACATTTTTAGATGTTTGTTTTTATTCAAAACAATCCTTTCTTAAGAGAAATGTTTTCTCGATCTTCCAAATCAATCAAGAGTATGGCAGAGCCGTACTCTTACCATCTACCTGAAAGACCACTCACCATACTAAATAATCAGCTTCGTTAAGAAGCTGTGTTTATTTGGTTGAGTGTGAATAGGTTTGAGAATAGACCCACTCACTTTGGAACTAACCTTACCTTCTAAATCTAATATTTTTTACTCGTAATAACCCCTTCTTAAGAAGTGAACATGACGATTTTCCTTATGAAGACGGCGTATATAGGATTGAAAGAGAAATCTGAGCTTAATACAAATAAATGAGGGTTCTAATGATGGTCTGCTGCAAAGATCATCTTCGATATCGACATTGAAAAGTCGTTATGTGTTCCTTAGCAGTGTTCACCGCAGGATACTATCCAAAAGTGTCGCATTCATTATCTCACAACAGACCATGTTGCTCCCACCCTCCGAGGTCTCTCATAAGTGTTCAAGTTTTTGAAGTTATATTTCTTTTGGGGCGTTAGGAAAAATGATGAGAGTCACGGTCACGAAAAACCGACACCCTGAAGTTAGCTTCTTCTTCTTTAATTTATGTGGTCGTTGCTTCTCAGTCGAGCGCATTTGGCCAGACTCCTTCTGTGTGAACAGAAGCTTCGTCCGCTTTTTTTTTATAAAAATACTTCATTTTTTTACTAGGGGGCCGCGAGTCCTCTCAAGTTGTCTTTCACTTCAATATTCATTTGGACTTATTTTTTTAAAAACACCTCATTTTTGGACTCCTTCCCGACCATGATATCTACGTGCCATCTTTGAGGACGGTCGTTATCGGCACAACCGTTCTTTGTCTCGATCGGAGAGAAAGTCCTCGAAGTTAGCTCAACATTTCAATTTTTCAAAAAAAGTTATTATTATAACTTTTGTTTGAAGGTGATTGACAATGTTTCATAATGAATTTCACTAGTTCCAGTAGACTTCCATTGTCTACTATATAAAATGATTTGAAATACCTGAAACAACTTAAAAAGAAGAATTAAAAATGAATAGCTGAAAATAACAATTATATTAAGCAAAATAAACCTGAAATGAAATAATAGTGAAATGAAATACAAGTTAAAATTGAATAATTGAATAAATAAAAATAAAGAAATGAAAAAAGAAAATAAAAATATAAAGTGGAGAGAATCCAAGTCACGTTATAGTTCACGACGTTTCGATTGTTAGTATCTACAATCGTCTTCGGGTGATGACTGGCCTGATTCCTCCAAGAGATGACTATTTATAGGTCGCTTTCCATTTTCCGCTTCACTGGTTCCGTGGAAGATGACCGTTTTGGCGGGAGTTGGCCATTTTTCGCTTGATGATGGGTTTCCATATGTTGCGTATTTCTACGCTAGCTTGGCTGAATACGTTGTTGGACAAAATGTATGCGGCTTCCTTGAATTTTCTCCTAAACCAATGTTCCTTTCTGTGCAAGAGCTCAGCTTGGGACCACTTGATGTTGTGTTGATGGGTCCAAACATGGTCTCCTATTCCTGATTTGCTGGTTTCCCCTCGCTGTGTGTGTTTCTTGTGCTCGGCAATGCGAACATTCAATGGCCTCTTAGTTTCACCAATATAGAATTTTCCGCACTCACAGGGTATCCGGTAAATGCAATTCTTGGAATCGCAGTCTGCGTTTGGTGGTCTGGTTCTAATGCAGATTCTGATGTTGTACTTGGAACCAATTCTTCTTATCCTCTCCGATAATCCTCTGATGTAGGAAAGTGCAAGCACTGGTTGTGACGGCTTCTCTTCCTTGCGAGGTTCATGTTGTCTTTTAGCCAAAGTCTTTTCTACCATCGCTTTGGAGTAGCCATTCCGTTGAAGATCATTTTTGATGATGTCTAGTTCCTTCTCGAGACCTTCCTTCGTATAACAGAGCCCAAAAGCACGGTCTAATAGAGTTTTGATGATTCCTCTTTTAGTCGATTGATTGTGGTTGAATTCGTGGTTCAGATACTGTCCCGTGTGAGTGGGTTTTCGGTATACAGATGTTTCCCACTAAGTGTCGGTCCTCTCCAAAACGTCTTAAGAATGGCAATTCGTTGTGGATTTCCTGCTCCATTGTGAAAGTAATGGAAGGTCTCACGCTGTTGATGTGTTTCAGGAAGGCGTCTAATTCAGTATTCCCATGGTTCCATATTATGAAGGTGTCGTCAACATATCTCAACCAGACTCGAGGTTTCTTGTGGGCTTCTTCAATGGCCAGAGTTTCAAACCATTCTATATATATGTTGACTATTACTTGTATTTTATTTCACTATTATTTCATTTCAGGTTCATTTTGCCTAATATAATTGTTATTTCCAACTATTCATTTTTAATTCTTCTTTTTAAGTTGTTTCAGAGATTTCAAATCATTTTATATAGTAGATAATGGAAGTCCGAACTAGTGAAATTCATTATTATTACTATTATAACTTGAACCTAACCTAAACCCGAATCATCCATCTCATTTTCACAGTTGAAATTTTCTCCCATAACCCTAAAACTCGGTATAACTTTTTTTTAATGTTCGTCATCGGGATTCTCATAATAGATTTTTTGTCTCATTTTTGGATTTTCTCTTTCGTCATCGGGGATTGCCATAACAGATTTACTTATTAGTCAGTGGGATGTGTTTGAAGACGGGCAGTAAACAAATCTAAAGAAATAAACTTTAAATGTTCAAGCCCGTCTCGGATATACCTAAACAGTAGGTTGAATGGACTGACGCCTATCAGAAAACAACTACTTCATTGGCTAATACCACGAACGGCGTTGGATTATATCCGACAGGTGTCAGTGCAGGAATCTTCACAGAAAATTGCCTGCATATGCAATTGGGAATACCACTGAAAGAGTTGACCTTCAATTTTAAACGGCAACACTTGCAGACCGGTTTCGGGCTCCTTAGCCACTCGTCAGTGCAAGATAGTGACCATCATCGACCTGAAGTCAACGATATTCCATAATTGAAAATCGGAATTCTTTCAGAGTATTTCATTCCCCGTGTTAAGTTAGAGTGAACATCAAAAATGTCACTCCATCTAGTGGACGAGGTACTAACGAACTGCATATCCGAAATTTGTCCGATTCCTCTGAATAAGGAAGAAAAACTTTCCCGTTAGTCTTCCTTATTCAGAGGATAGACTGTATGAGTGATTAAGAGTGGTTTCAAAAAGTACCCGCCCCATATCAGAGTTTTTAAATATAACTTACCGGTAATTTCGTGGGAAATCTATTCCTTAGGGTCATTACTTCCTCTCTTCTGACTTCTGAAAGAAAAAACGATGTTTTGATGACTTATTACAAGTATCTGAGGTAATCGAAACACAACAAGACATTACATTCAATATACTACACAATACAACACACATTTCTTGAAACAATGAGACTAGAGAAACACAACACAAAGGATATTACCTGATGTTATCCAAATACAGGCAAATTTAAAGAGACATTCGGATGACAAGATAGGACAAATACCTGAACTGAAGCCTTCTAACCATATAAAAGAAAAAAAAGTGATTTATTTCCAACAGGAGTACCCAGTTCAGGAAATGCTATTATTACAGAGTATATATGGACTAAATATTAAAAATAGTGGAATATAGAAATATATAAAAGTAAATGCTAAAACAAAGTATATATAAAATATTCGTATGAGTAGAATTTCAAAGAGAAATGAAAAATTGAGTATATGACACAAAAAGTTACAAATCATGGAATGTAACAGTACTGACACAAAAGTTATTTATACTATTATTAAAAGTGATTGTGGATACAAGATACCAAGGTGTTCAGAGAGTCGAAATGAATGTCACAGTGTTCACAGATTTTATTGAAGAACAAACAAGAAGATAAAACGTTCAGTTTGAGTAGATCCATGAAGATGGTAGCACAGTCTGCTATCGAAAGCTTTCGCATATAATTAGTAGAAGTTATTAAAGCTTCAAATCTTTTTTGTAAACAAATGGTAATGTTGAAATACTGAAAATGAAGGAAATTCAGTTGCATCATTCAATCAAAAGGATTTGAAACTGTATATCTTCTATTAATTATCTGCGAGCGCTTTCGACACAACACAATTTCAAATGGCAATATACAGGAAACCTACACAAACAAGCTCCACCATACCCGCAAGTTCAAACCATTCACCATCACACAAAATGGCTGCCTATAACGCATTCATATATAGAATGTTAAGAATACCACTCAGCAATGAAGCCCGAAACAAAGAACGGAAAATCATATACCAAATAGAGAACGAAAACGGATACACCCAAAAGACAATAGATAAACTAGAAAACAGAATCAAACAAAAAATACAGAACAAGGATCAAGCCACCCTTAAAGACAAAACAACACAACGATGGACAGCATTTACGTACGTAGGACACCAAACCAAAAAACTAACAAATGTCTTCAAACCACTGAACATTAACATCACATACAAGCCAAACACAAAGATAACACAAAAAATAAACAACTATGAAAAAAAAGAAGACAAAGACCAAAACGGGATATACAGTATACAATGTTCGGACTGCAACAAATTCTATATCGGCCAAACCAAGAACAAACTGATCAAAAGGTATAATGAGCACAAAAAGGCATACATAAATCCAATAGTATATAAATCAAACCTCGCAACACACGCCATACAAAACAAACATAGTTTACCCCCAGCAGAGAACATAAAACTCATCAAACAAGTCAACAAGGGAAACCGCATTGACATTTGGGAAAACTTGAACATCCATAAATTTAACAGTCATAAATCACTTATCGAGGAACAAGTACAAATCACAACACAACAATACCTCACATTCAATATATTAAACAAAACCACACACATTCCTAGAGAAGATCTAACACAAAGAATAGTACCTGCTGCAGTACAAATACAGGCAAATTTACCTAAAGTACCTGTAATACCTTGAGACGTTCGAACCGTATAAAGAGGCAAACGACAGGATGACAAGTTCAGTTTGAGGAGTGCCTAGAAGATGACAGTACGACCAGCTGTCGAAAGCGCTCGCTGATAATTAATAGAAGATACAAAGCTTCAAATCCTTTTTGTGAAAGTTAATATTAAAATACTGAAAATAAAGGAAAATTAGTTGCATCATTCAATAGAATGATGCAACTACTTGATAGAAATAACTGCGTAAACTGCGTTTACGCAGTTATTTCTATCAAGTACTTTTCTTGGTTTTTCACATTTTGTCTTCTATCGCCTAATAGGCTGAAACAGCTGTCTACCGATGGCTCTTAAATTGAAATCAATATGGGAATGATCAGAATGGTACTTATTTATTTATCTTTTGATTTTCATGGAATTATTTTCCAGCAGTTTGACTGCATTAACCTTTCTCGATTTTATATACTTTTGGAAACAACCTAATAATAATATTATACAGTGTATAAAATGTTCAAAATGAAGAAGCAGAAATTTTGTCTGGTGGGAAAATATATTTTGGTATATCTTTCGATTCTGGTTGTTACAAACGTACATCAAATATCATTTCAGTCTAATTGCGCTCCAAGTGATAAGGAGAGTTGTTGATGAAGGATCTGTTTGTTTTCTTGTTTGCTTGGCTAGCATCGAATTTACATAAATATTCCAGAAATAGTACCTATATCTTTAAACTGAAACGCATTAACTTGAGAAATTGAGTGATTTTATTTTTTATTTCGAGTTTAATCAGTGATAAATTTTAATCAAAATGTATTACTGAAAATCTTGTTTACCACTTCGAAGCATAGGTCAAGAATCGCAAACGGTAAAAACGATGAACATCAGTCACTCTCAAGTTTGGCCTAAGCCTGTCACGGCTGACTATTCAAAACGATACAAATTACAGCGAAAGTTGAGATGGCGTCAACCATATGAAACTGAAACAGTGAGAGAAATAAACTGTTCACAAGGTTTCGTGATTTAAAATATGCCCGAGCTGTCGCAGAAGAAATAATATGTTTGACAGTTTATGTTTTAATTGTTCTACATGAAAATTCTAATTCAATTTAGAGTTCAAAGTAACACAAAGTAACTCTCGTGGTTCACACTGACGGGTCGTTACGAGTACCCTCTGAGATTTGTCATTATTTAGTTTCAGATTTTGGGCTCTAAACCGTGTTTCAACTTTTTTTTCAATTTCTTCAGATCCAGTAAAACGTGGTGATCCGGACTCGAACATACAAATGACGTATCATCGGCAAAAAAAACACAGTTGAAGGGAGTCATGAAGTTGTTTAGCTCATTAACATAAATAATGAATAAAAGTGGCCCAAGGACAGAGCCTTTGAGTACACCACGATAAATTTCCTTAAAATCCGATGTATTATTATTGAAACAAACTGCCTGATATCGATTTTTCAGGTAGGACTCAAAAAGTGAAAGTAAAACTCCTCTTATTCCAACACATAGTAGTACTAAACACGTATAGTAGTAGTTTAGTATAGTACAGTATAGACTTAGGTGGGCCATCCTTGTATAGACACACCTGAAGAAGTTATTGTATATCGAAACACGTGTTGCGGTTTTGTGGAACTGTTCAGTGAAAATCTTGAAAACGTTTACTTATCGTGTCTTGAAATATTTTTTTTCAAGAGTGGAGTCAATAATATCTACCTCGCAACAGTTGTAAACACCAATCTGTTTGATGAAACTCATTTCTTTCTGAAAGATTACATTGGGACTATGTGATATTCAATATTCTGTGAAGTATACTAATGAATGCTGTGTGTCAAAGTATTATGTATGAATATACAGTGCATTTCTTTAATGTCCCCCCTTTTATTTAGAATAATAAAATTAATGCATGTGTATTTTATTTTGAAGTGAAATTGACAGGTGAAACTTTCAAGATGGCGACTGGGCGCTATCTGGGAAAAAAGTTGAATGGAATGGGGGATCTACCACAAAATGGGGGAACTTTCAATAATTGCCTGAATACATTGACATTTAACCACATAATATGAGGTAATAAGCTTGAGGTCAGTTCAAAAGATGCTCGAAATGATTGCGTTGAACTCCTTGACATATAAACAGCCTATCCGATATTTCACGCCGAACATTTTCGAACACAGTATATCCAATATTGAAGCAGGTTCAGTTTCGTACACCTTTTGCTTCAAATAGCTCCATAAAACAGTCCAAAGGTGTCAAATCTGGCGAGCGGGCTGGCCATTCTGTAGGACCTCGACGACCAATCCAACAACCGGGAAAAGTAGTATCCAAATAGTTTCTTACTTGTCTGGAATAATATGGTGGTGCTCCATCTTGTTGGAATACAATATCCATATCGAATTAATTAGGATTCGCTTTGATAATTTCAGTGATGAGGGGGTCAACAGTAGTTTCCAGCTCATTCAACTACAGTTCCCTTGTTCAATTTTGATCAATAAATAGAGGTCCTGTCCTGTCTGTCTATGTACATTGCCGTTTAAAAAAAATGTACATTCGTCACTAAAACAAATATTGTGGGGATAGATAGGATGCCTTGCAATGGTTTCCGTCATGATTTCGCAGAATTATGTTCTTCGATCAGGGTCATCTTCAGTTAATTGGTGTACCATTTTAATTTTGTATGGATGATACCTATTTTTCTTCAAAAGTCTCCACACAGTAGAAGGAGACACCTCACAAACATTCGCGACCGAATAAGTAGACTGTTCAGGATTTACTACCATCTCACCAATTATTTGCACATGCTGTTCTTCCGGAATAGACGGATGAGCTGGTAGCTTTTTGTTATGTACATTGCCGGTAGTTGTGAATTTGGATACAAGTTCCCTCAAATATTTTCTACAGGCAGGACGATTCGAAAAACGTTCATTGAAAATCCTTTCGGTCTCGTGAAAGTTACGCGTCGCGCCGTAAATAAAAATCGCTTTAATTTTATTCTTCCAATGGACGAGAATTGACCATTTTAGAGATTGTTGACGTGGTACCTTTCTACTAGTAAAACCGAAAACTAAATGAGAATATTCTAACTGAACAATGATGTTCATTGTCGTACTGACATTTTTTGTCGTTTTTATAAACAAAAAATAACTTAACAAACCTTATCGGGTTGTTGCAATTGCCATAGGTAGATAAAAAGGAATATTTCTAAAAATATCGATCTTAATGTGTTTTTCTTTAGGAAACTATCAGTCGCCATCCTGATAGTTTCATCTGTCAATTTCACTTCAAAATAAATTATTCATGCATTAATTTCATTATCCCAAATTTCAATTTTGTGAGTTGACCCGTTAAAAAAATAAAGGGGGGGGACATTAAAGAAATGCACTTTATGGCAATGTTCGTATAAGATAGTTTGTGGAAAATTGCAAAATCATGTTTATTGTTGATTTATTTAAAACACAAATTAGGTAAAATTTAATTAGTATTTTCACGGGTTAGGAAACTATTCTGTAGTGAAACACGTGTTACGGTTTTTTGAACTGATCAGTGAAAATCTTACAACGAAGGCAAAGAAAATACTTTTTTTGAAAATTGATAAATCAGAGTCGTAAATCGAAGTACTTCAATTTGTCAGTTTTACATCGAACCGGTCAACATCGCCACGAAACGATATCGTATCATCCGCAAATCTTATGGTTTTAGAGTTGGGCTCAAGTTGTTAAATAAGATTAGTCCCAATACCGTACCTTGAGGTACACCACACAATTAATTTTTTTTATTTGTAGTCACTTTTTCTCGCCCTTTTCCTTTTAAGTTGAATTAACATTATAATTTGCATTACCGAAAAAATAGTCGCGGAAAGAGTATAGTAATCAAAACTGACCTAGGGGCTTGATGGTCTTCGGTGGGCTGGCCACGGCATTGTCTTCTTTTTTCGTCTTCTTTCCTCCGAAAAGTTTGTTCATCGCTTGGAACGAGGAAGACAAATTATTATTTCCACACTCGCAGAAGTATTTGAGGCTGTTGTCCGCGGAATACATGAAACTCTCTAGTCGCCGTAGCTCACCAATGTTCTAGAAGGTACCGGTCGATTTCGAGAGGGCGATTGTGTTTTGTTGACTGCTGCTTACAGACCACTACGATGCCTCTGCTCGTACTGACAACAAAGCAGTTTACATTCAATTGTTTTTCGTAATTTCGCTTATCGGTACTAACCGTTTTTATTGACTTTCTCAGTACAGGGTTCAACGGAACTATGGAAAATTATCGGGTTGATTTGGGCGTCGCAGTGGCGTATCCGGTTGGATTGTTGGGGGTATATCATTACATACTATTATCCATGATAATATTTTTCAATATTCGCAATAAGTTTCATTGCGCCCTTTTCTCGCTGAAATTTCCATGGAAAAAATGTATTTCTTGACTTAGGTATGTTTACGATGTTATAGCCTGCTTCATAGAAATACATTGATGATTACAGATTACAGTAATTTTTTCAATATATCAACTCTATTTACGAAAACATAAAATTTACAATAGAACTAGAAACCAAAAATTCAATGAAATTTTTAGACCTCAATATTACAAAAATCAACAACAAACATGATTGCGCAATTTACCACAAACCAACCCATCCGGACACACAGGGCAGGATTTGGAAGTCTGAATGTTCTGGGACAACGAAAGAATGGAGGCCCTTATTTATTAATTGTTTTCCAAGTAAAAGAAATATTTTTTTCTGTCTAGTCTTTCATTTATTCATTGTCAGCAAATAAAATTATTAAATTATTTCAACAAAGAATGTATTAATTTGTTGAAATCAAATACAATTTATTAAAAGTCAAATGACCGCATTAACGAATGGAATTTTGCGAGCTTTTTAAATATTTTAGTTCTCCTTAACGCATATGTATAGTCGAAGTAATCTTTATTGTGAATATTTAAAGCAGTCGGCGCCCTCAAAGGCCAAAAAAACCAATACAAAGAGATAAAGCCGCTGCCAGCTAGTCCACGTGGACTGAAGCATTGGCGTTTCGTATTGGATGAATTTTACTAACCGAGTTTTATGATTGGCTGAAGAGTCATAAAATTAAATTCAAAGTCATGTTACGGTGATGAATAGAATGCGAGCCGTCGTGTTGTCAATGTTCAATTCAGGAACTGATCGCGATTTCAGTGTTGAAATTCGATATTGGTACAGTTACAATTACTTGAAATTTTTGTTATCTGTTTAAAATGTGCACATGTGGCGTCCTTGGACAAGTACTGATAGTAATAATGAGTGTGACAACGCAGAATTTTTCCACTGTAGCGATTCCAATAGCGATGGTGAATAGGTTTCGGATGTATTTGAATATTTAAAAACAGAGAGTATGTTTCAATGTATATGAGAATCTACATCTCAAATCTCAAGTTTGGTTTCGAGCATCAGGCGTAAAAATAATTTTTCAAAATTTGATAAGAAGGTAATAGAACTAATTGAAGAAGAAGTTTCTAATATTACCGAAGAAGACTGGCAGAAAAAGATTAAAAAAGGAATTGTAGTTGTAATGGAGGTTGGAAACTTCCATATTAATTGTGGAAATAAATTCATTATTGATTTAAATGACGACAGTGATAGTGAAACAGTCCTTTATCAAGAATATCTACAAAAAGTATGATGCAAACATTATACAGTAATAAAATATCAAGAAAGGACTCACCAAAGTTAGTTTAAAATATAAATAGGCATATAAATACAAACATAGAAAAGCCGAAAAGTCAAATGCAAATTTGACGTTGAAATTTTGTCGCAGCACCAGAGAAAATGTAATTTTTATATCTTAAAATCTACAAAAAGGGGAGGCAAACCGCGGACACGTGTTTCTGGCTATTGGCCTCATCAGCGCGGTGCAGCCAAGTGTGAAGATGGGCAACACTTGTTTGCCGAAAGCAGGAAACAACACATACGCACAACAGGAGCCAACTAATTGTTTCATTCTTGATTTGTATATCATACACACTCGATAAAATCTTGTATTGATTCTTGTATAGGTAATCAGAAATTATTATTGAATAACGAAATTAGTTAGCTCCCAGTTTATAACTATATTATTAAAGGGTAGGTTGCACTATATCGTTTACTTGAATTATTCAAATCACACATCAAAAAAAAGTATCACCACTGAAATGCTTGTTCAAATCAAAAATTGATAGTAAATGGAAACTTGCAATCAGAGCTTTCTGTCCCGTCAAAATTTGGATATTCTTTTATCTTCATTGCGGGGGACCCGTATCAGTGGCGGCCCTGGAGCAATAGCCTCGACTGTCCTCCCTTAAATCCGGCCCTGCGGACACAATTATCATTAACCATTCTTATCACCCCCATCAACATAAATTAGCAGCTTACCATACCTTACCATACCATCATCCACAGACTTATCAGTATCCTGATGTCCACAGATAATTTTAATAATGAATTAAATTTGATAAAACAAATTGCAGTTCATCTCATCCTTGGCAAGCTGGCAATTAACCACTCACATATTGATAGGGGAGCCCGAGCGGGGATTTCGGGATTGACTAAAGCGCGGCAGATGAATATACAGGGGGATACCTTGTACCCGGCTAAGTACCTCCACCAAATATGAGCCCCATATATAAGGACGCCTGTGAGGGATAAAGGATCAGATTAGTAAAAAAATGATCATCAAAAATTTTCGAGCGCGTCAGATTAAGGTAGGGTGAGTTAATTACCTGCTAAAAAGTGTATATTCCAGTAATCTGACAATTTGAGAGTGACGTAAAGAGAGGGGAGGACAGCAAAATTGTAAAAAAATTTCGACATTCTCGAGCGTAGCTATTTTTTTATATTTTGAAGGAAATAATTCAAGAATAACAAAAATTCCTCGATAAAGTTTAATGCGTGCAGCTGTGTGATGCCTATATTTTCCTCTCCGAGTTTCTATTCTCTATTCCCTTTTCTCTATCTATTACTCTCTCACTCCGTCCCCACTCTGAATTATGTTGCCATGACGCCATCACAGCTGATAACAGTGACTCGTTCGTGATGAAGATGACGATTAATTAATCAATTAATTGATGGATGTAGCCGTTACTACATGGTAGAAAATCATAATGGAGAAAAGAGAAATTACTTACTATCTATGTTTTCGTCCTATAAGGACGAAACTGCAGTAACGTTAGTTACAAATAAAAGTGGTAAAAAACAGAAAGTTTCATTTCCCTTTTCTTCAATGATTATTCAATTGATTATAGAAAATTAAGTATTCTACTTAAAAAACATACACTCATTTATTGGCATGCTATTTCTTGAACTTTTCAATTAATAAGTTCAATGAATTAAAAAAAAAATTAAAAATATTGTTTTTGTCAGATTAATCTAATCCCTTTAGATAATCGTCAGATTATGAGACAAAACGTCTAAAACATAAAGATGAACCATATATATCTTGATCTGACGCGCTTGAGCATTTCAAAATGGCGAATTTTTTTGCACATTATAATAATGGCCGTGAGTTTGCATCAGATCGAAATCGTGAGAGTATTGAATGAGAGATTTTTTTGTTGCACTTAACACCCCCTTAGAAAATCTGACGCGCTCGATTAATTTTTTTTCTTTTCACTTTTAACCCTTAAGTACAACCACCCGCATCATGCAAGCTCAGATCAGATCTTCTTTGAAGCTTCAGCATTACAAAATTAAATATCTAATTAATTGATTCCTTTAATTTTCACCATGTTTACGTCTTTAAGCTGAAGGTCAAAAATTTCAGATGTGTTTTTTGAAGCTCGTCCTTAGCTTCAGTCATTGCCAAAAAGGGACCAATATCTGAGTTTTTGTAATAGGTAGGTTCAACTATTTTACCTGGTTATCTGTTGCATTGCTACAGTTTTCACGGAACTAGATAGGGAGAAGAAGCTGCATTGGGTGACATCTACGATCACCAGATTTGTCGCCAATTGAGTTTTCTTCGCAGGGATACCTGAAAAGTGAAAGCTTTAGAGGATAACCTAGTTCCTTAAATGATTTGCTTCATAGAAACTTTTTCTACTGTTTTGAGTAACTTAAAAGGATTTCTTTCGAATAGAAAATTATGAAGATCCAGATATGTCTTCAGGAAAACACAAAAGTTAATTAATATTCATACTAGTGATCGTTGAACCTTGTGGTGATTAGGAATAAAAAAAATGTGTTTGTGAGAGGCGCCTTGATTATTGTTTACCAGTTTTGCGTATTCTTTGAAAAATTCGGTTTTGTTTTGTGATTATTCGATGAATAATCAATACGAACTTCAGTTAACGGTGTTATCACATTCCATCATTAATGACCTATTTACTGCTGTTCGAATTGATTATAGTGTTATCAAAGAATTATTCATTCAAGGTTTCAGAAAAATATATATTTGCATTAACCTCAATATCGACAAAAATAGCAGATTGAACTGCATCCTACGACTCGTTTGCGGTAGAAAATTCAAATTTTTCAGTTAACTATACAAAACGAGAAAGTGAAAAAAGATAATTCTAGATATTATATTTTTAATGATGTTTAACAACACTTTGTGTAAAATTAATTTAAAAAAAAGTTCTTACGTTTTCTACTATTAGTTTTCTGTAAAAAATATGACTGATTCGAGAATATTCTAAGTGTTTCATTCATCAGTTCGAAAAAACGAAAATACTGAACAAAAGTAATTTTTGTGGGAGTTTTTCATCGACCTTTCCGTTTTTACTACAATTTGACTCTGTCAGTTGTAGATTTGATTAGAAGTGATTTCTTCCATTATGTCAATAAATATCTCCTACATATGTAAATACTAAAAATCATTTACTATAGTATAACAATTTTTAATTGAAGGTGATTCAGCAACGTCGCACTTGAAGTGACCAACGGATAATCCTCTTACCAACTCTACAGAGGCGTACCAAAATAATATTTTCATTTATTTAAACACATACGTAATTACGTAAAAATTGTTATAGTAGGTGGCGCTACCTGGTGTCAATGGTAAAACTGATTACATTTTCTAATTATGCCTAATACAGTACTTCAAAAAAACAGAAAAATTTACAAAATGATTATAATGTTCTTTTTAAATAGAAAGAGAACTACAAAGCAAAGAAATAATTACCTATCTTATGCTTATGAAGTTTCAGAATCCAATGACTCGTCCGAAGAGGAATCCCCAGTCACACTTTAATCTATTATTATTTGGTCGAAAACAGTGTCTACCATCCCGTCCAATCTCCACATTTTCCCTTCTTCCTTGATCACATGGGCTACAGCATTAGCCCAATCTTTTTTCCGTATCCGTTCCATTGCGAGTTCTAACAAACATTGGACATCAGAAATTTTATCTCACGTTTTCACGAGCTACGTAACCCTTAATTTGAGCCCAGATTGACTCTATCGGGTGTAACTCGCAATGGTAAGGAGGAAGTCTCAAAATGGTGATTCATTCAGCACAAACTATTGTATCCACCACATGCTGGCGATATCTGTCACGATGCTGTTTAATGACGCTCATAAGCTCGGCCTTAAACATGTCCTCGGAAAATGGAATTCCTTTTTGTCTTAACCAACTCTGCATGTGTGCTTTTCTAGTGGCCATAGTTGACAGCTGTTCTACTAATCGGCTGTGATAAGAAGCGTTATCCATTACTATTACCGAATTTGGCTCGACTCGTGAAAGAAGGGATTCAAAGCATCCTTCAAAGCGTTGGGCGTTCATGTCTTCGTGTCAATCCCCCCGTTTTTTTGAATAAAAAAATTAGTGCACTATCGTCTAAAAAGCCACTCTCGCTACCTATATGGGCGACAATTAGTCGTTGCCCTTTACCCGTTATTCCGCGTAACCCTGTTGATAAACCGTCCACGAATGCTTGACGATAACTAGTTACAGTAGTATCTTGCTAGATCTTAGATACTGTGTGACCAGCATTCACCCACGTTTCGTCCAGATAACAAATCTTTTTGTAAGCAGAACGCGTTTCTCTAATATAGCGAAGATATCTCCGTCGCCATGAGACTATATCTCCTCTTTCTATTAAGACAGATTCACGGGATCGTTTGGAATATATAAATTTTAAATCTTCTTTTATTATTTTCCTTAACTTCTCTTTGCTCATTTTTGGAATGAGATCATTATCCATTTCCTTTGTCCTAATGGATTCGAGGGTTGGCGCTTTATTCTCAAAAAAGAAAGAATGGATGGTATAGCGTACAACATTTTCTGCTACTCGTCCAACTCAATTTTTTTCTACCACGACAATGTACTTTTGGAGCTGGCACAATCCCAGTCACCTTTTTTTCACGTACAATGCGTTCAATTGTCGACACGGATATTTCCGTTAAAAATGAACACTGGGCTACAGCTTCCACTGTACGGAGTGTATTTTCTAAATTTTCGTACACTCTACAGACAATCTGTTCTTTATCTAACGACATAAACTTCCGCTTTCTTTGTACATTACTTGGACCTGCTACGGCATCCATCTTAATACTATAAAAATGATAAAATTCAGTCATATTATTCAGCTATTTGTCAGTTGTTTTAAACTTGATGTATTTTGAAAAACACTTTATTGTGAGATTTTCACTAGAACAGATTAACAAATCCGCAACACGTGTTTCGCTGCACAGTAGCTTTTTCAAGCGTGTTCACTCACAAACTGAATTCTACATACATTGTGATTCATATATACTTTTTGAAATATTACTATCTACCTAGAAACTAATAATATTCTAGGAACTAATTAATGACAGTTATACCTGAGTTTAACGAACATTTATACCTGAGTTTAATGACTAGGTCAATTAATTATCTCACAATGAAGTGTGAATGTGATGAAAATCTATGATAATGTATTTCGTAACGGTATTAAGTAACGGCCGAATCAATCAGAAAATTATATAGGTTCTTCCAACAGGAACTTTGGATAATGGCCAACTTGTTGAAACTACATCTGTCAATTTGGTTGTCATTTATTCAGTCTGTTTTGCCAAATCACCATGGACGTATACCTTTATGTTTATGTTTGCGTCGTGACTTGGGTCTGCACCTTCACAAAATTCAACTGACCCAGGAACTGAAGGTAAGCGACCATAGACAACGACGTGTATTCGCTGAATGGGCTCTGAAGCAGTTGGCAACTGACTCGAATTTTCATCGAAAAATCATCTTCAGCAATGAGGCCCGTTTCTGGATGAATGGGTACAGGAACAAACAAAATCGTCGAATTTGTTACGATACCAATCCACATGACATCCAAGAGTGTCTAATGCATCCCGAAAAAGTCACTGTTTGCTGTAGATTTTGAGCAGGCGGCGTCATCAGTCCATATTTCTTTGAGAGCGACAGACAGGCCATCACTGTCAATGGCAGGCACTATAGATCTACGATTATCATCTTATTTTGGTCTGGACGATTGCGGAACTAGTCAAATGTTACACCCATGGTCAATCCTTAAAGAGATGGGATGAAATCAAAGGATGTAATCTTGCCAGGATCACCTTGGGCGACCCTGGGATGCTGGCGCCGAAGAAATATCTGGCGATGACCAGGCGAGTCTTGGCCTACACCTGCCGATATAAAGGAGATGTCTCCCAGCGACCTGTCCACCTTCCTGGAAAGGACAGGATGGACGACGACCAAGGAGGACAACTCCTCGGGAGGATGTACAATGGGTCACATGTGGCCTAAGTGCGTGGGCTTACACTCACCCTCCCTACTCTACAGATACAGATTGGTCTGGACGATGATCTGGACAGCAACGACATGTGGGAGGATGAGTCTAGACCCACAGCACTTATGCCACATGTGACCCATTGTACCCCGAAAAGTTGTCCTCCTAGGTCATCGTCCATCCTGTTCTTTCCAGAAAGGTGGACAGGTCACTAGGAAACATCTCCTTTATATTGACAGGTGTAGGCCAAGACTCACCGAACACACACTCTCTTTGGCAACCTTGTGTCTCACGGCGGCCTTCGTGAAGGTTTTGGTGAAGTTTTTGGACCTCCAGTCATTTGGCCGTTCTCCTATCCCCCTCCTGGGGACGCGAACGATAGGTAGCCAAACCCACGGGATGTCACATTGGGTATTCTGCACCAGCGATTTGAGGACATGGCCATCTCACGTGGATGTGATGTGAGCTGGCCACCGAGATCGTGCGATTTGAACCCGTTAGACTTTTTCTTGTGGGGTTTTCTTAAGTCGCAGGTGTATGCGAATGAGCAACAAACCACAGCGGTCCTCAAAGTCAACATGACCCGTGTCATCAGTCAAATTCAGCCAGAGTCATGGAAAATTGGACGTTTCGGATGCGCTTCACCTAAAAAAGCCGTGGCGGACATTTAAACGATGTTATATTCCACACATAATGGCATCGATAGGTATTCCAAACGGATACAAAAACTTTATGATATTTCACACGCACTGTTTGTTTCATTCAAATTTAAAAATAGTAAGCGCTTAATGAACGACCCTATATGTTTGCTTTGTTAACGTTTTCGCCATTTTTTGTGGATTTAGTACCTGTTTAGTAAAAAATCGGCATTTTATTCCAACCGAGATTAAATTCCTTCTATTTATGATTTCAGGAAAATGGAGGTCTGAACGATATCAGCGATGATATTCACGCTCTTCTACATGTATGCGACCTTTATTCAATGGTGGCGACTGGGATCACTCAAGAACAAACTCAACGGGACTCTGACTTCAAAAAACGCCCTTCTGGTTTGTGACGGGACCGTCATTTATGAAGCGAAGAAATCGAGGAGCTTCGAAACGCTTCTGTTCAGATCCGAGGATAGGATAGGATGCACAATAGTACCAAAAGTAAGACCTTTGGTCTTATTAATCAAGCATTGGTCGAGTTATGTTCTTTTTTTTTAGCAAAAAATCAACCTTTCTCAATGGGTGACTTTCCCCAGAGATTACAGATATTTTCCGATACTGTTCCAAGATAACTCCTTGAAGATTGCGTCTCCCAGTATTTACATTCTGATTGAGACCATGCTAGATACATATTTGAAACATTCTGCTGATTTATTACAGGTAATAATATGTGCTAACTATTACCAGCAAACAGCAGTAAGGTTTGTTATATTTTTTCCAAATACCAAAACTTTGTAAAGTTTTGCTCAACAATTTTGTTGTTTCTATAATATCATGAATTTATAAAAACGTTTTTTGATATTTTGGCTTTGAATTTAAAATACAGGGTGTTAATTAGGTATGTACCATAAATTTAACAGATAATTCCTTTAGGTAATTTTATGACGAAATGTTCATATAAACATGGGTCCGCAAATCCTTCGTTCTCAATATACAGGGTGTTAAAATAAAAAAATAAAAAAAGTTATTCGTAAATATCTTAAATATCCTTTACCTAATTTTGTTGTAATTTGGCAATGGTATTTACAACATTAAGGAGCTAATTTAGCCCGAACGCGATTCAATTTATTAAGTCCAGTGGCGTCTCGAGCGGGATTTGAACGAATATTTTTGAGTTAAAAATGTACGCCACTGACTTTTCGTCAATTAATATTATTCCTTTGGATTAACCAATTAGGAATACAACTTTTTTGTCTCTTGAATTTTTTTCGTATCATTTCGTATCTTGCTTAGTTTTTATGAAGAGTGCGAAATTCAATGATGCGGCGGCTAGACGGTTGTATTGAAGCCGAAGGAGGCCATTTCCAACACTTAATTTAGTGCAATTCGTTAGTCTAGATGTTAATGTTATTTAATATTTGTTGTTATTGTTACATATTTAATAATGAAAAATTGTAAAAATAATAATTTCCAAAGGAAACATTTAATTCTCCATAAATTATTCCTTGTGAGGTCCAGAGATATGCAATTAGGTCGACTTTTTTTCTTAAAAACTAAGCAAGATACGAAAAAAAAAATTAAAAAGACAAAAAAATTGTATTTCTAATCGCTTAATCCAAAGAAATAATAAAAATTGCACAAAAGTCAGTGGCGTACATTTTGAAGTGAAAAATATTCGTTCAAATCCCGCTCGAGACGCCACTGGGCTTGATAAATTGAATCACGTTCGGGCTAAATTAGCTCCTCAATATTATAAATACCATTGCCAAATTACAACAAAATTAGATAAAGGATATTTAAGATATTTACGAATAACTTTTTTTTTTAATTTTCATTTTAACACCCTGTATCTTGAGAACGAAAGATTTGCGGACCCATGTTTATTTGAACATTTCGTCTTAAAATTACCTAAAGAATGGTCTGTTAAATTTATGGTACATACTTAATTAACACCCTGTATAGCTATAATCTATAAAACTTCATTTCTTCAATGTCACCTTAAAGATGAAATAGGAGAGATTTAGGCTGGTTCTGTCAATTTTTGTCGGCCCTATTGGGTCAAAACTAGTGGGACCTTCATGACCTGCTTATTTTTAAGGTGAGTTACACACTGGTTCTAGTCAGTCGTTTGTGAGTACTTATCCAACCTGTGTCACAACGTGTCCCATCGAAGGGGCAGGTTGTGATACTAAATTTTTTTCACTCCTTCGCGTTTTACCGAAAAAATACTGCTTTCTATGCTCATAGTCAAATTCCTAAGATCTGTTCCAACCAGCCCCGGTCCCCTTATCGGACGTGTTTCATGTAGTTTTCCAAGGAGCAGAAACATTCTTTTGGAGATTTAGTGGTCATCTGAATAATAGGAGCAATTTTGACATAACCTAACCTCTTTACTGTCAATGGAGATATCTGACTTCACGTGACCGTTAGTGTGAAAGGTGAACGTACAAAAAAGTACAAAATATATGCTTTGGTCGAATGAAGAAAATTATTTAGATTGAGAGTATATTCAAAATATTTTCAGTGTGAAAACTCCTACGACTCGAAATAAAAATTGTATTGTTTCATTATCAAAAACATTTTGTTAAAGCCTCAAAGAAATCATTCATTATAAAGCAATATCAAAACACTATCACAGGCAAAAACACGAATTCTGAAGATCCATTTCAATTTTATGTGCAATAAATAACAGCAAGAAATACCATTGTTATAAAAAGTTATTTGGATAATTTTTCCAGGTAAATTCCGAATTTACCAAAGTTTATAAAGGGTTACAGTGAGATGAAATACTCAATATAAGAACCTACAAAACAGCCCCCGTTTGAATGACAAAGATATCCAATTTAATAAATCTTGCTTATTCACGAACAATCCTAAGGTGTGTGTATCCGTGCCAAGATAATGAATGACCCTGAGCCTATCAGCTATCTCTACGGAACCTTCGAGATACCGGGCGCCCTCTCGTCGTAGCATCGCCTTATCACGGTAATGCGGGGCACTGCCGTAATTGACCTTCTTTCCCTAGCTACTTGTGGGACTTTTATGGACAAAGTAAACTTGAAAATTCTTTCTGACGCTGAGTCTATAGAGGAGATGGATGTCAAGCTTACGACTTCAACTGACCTCCCTGTAAATTTAGTTCAGGAGCGAGTCTATAGAGGAGATGGATGTCGAGTTTACGACTCCAACTGACCTCCCTGTAAATTTAGTTCAGGCGCAAGAGCTTCTCAACTCCCCAACTCCTGATCCAATAACGACTGAGTCGTCTTCTCAGAAGCAGAGTACCTTATAAAACCGCCTTGCACCAAATTCTTGAGCAGCGTACGCAGAATCGGTCAGTTAATCTTACAGTACCGCATATATGTTCATCTACAGTCCATACTTATGAACTTCTTTCTCTATCTTTCCCTAGGTTTATTGGACGTTGCTTCCCACTCGTGCGCATTTGTCCATCCTCCTCCTATCAAAGTTGACAGTAGCTCCGTCGGGGGGGAAGGGGTCAGCGGTCCACCCATTTTTTCTCGAACTTTTTTATTATAAAAACAATTTGAATTTTTCATTAACTCGCCTCCTGCTTGGGAAACCTTATGATTTTTTCCACATATTATTCGTATAATTGATGCGTTGATCCGGTCCACCCCGGCCTCTGACCGGCGTGAATGGTGTTGTGTAAATCCACTTCAGAATTCCCACGTGGACAGCCGGTCCACCCCGGCCTGTAACCGCCGTGAATGAGGGTACTAGTTCTTTTTAAATACTAATACAACTCTCGTTAATCTCAATACTAAATAATTATTTATAAACTGTGTTTCATCTTCAACAATGGCGTCCGCGTACTTTATTTGTGGACGGTCGTTATCGGCACGTCCGTCCATCACCAAATCAGAAACGAAATTCTTACTTATAAACTTGATATGCATGTCTGGATCATATTAAAACTTTGTTTTGTGTTTTAATATAGACTATAACAAGAACTAGGTATCATGTTTATTCACGAAAGACAAACCATTGACGAAATATTAATTAAGAAATAAGATGTTGATCCTGTAGTGGATGTGGCGCTTCGAAGTAGCTTCATGCTATTGTTTTGAATTATCCTCATAAAAAAACGACGGCTGGCGCTGGTCTTTGATCGCCGCCGACTTAGTCAAAGTCAGGCTCAGCCCCACTTATTTCTCCTCTCGAACCTTCTAGAACGCCATGTCGTTTCGTGAGTCCCTCTTAATAAAACTTGATATAAAATATTCAAGTGTTCAAAATATTATATTATGAATGGACTGACTCGTTGTTTGATGAAAATGAATAAAACACAGAAAAATCAGTTTATAAAATGAACCACTATGAACTTCCAGGTAGAAAATTTCGGAGAACTGGTAGCTTGGAGGGCATCTGATTACTTTGAAGCTATACTTAAGACTGATTTAGATAAGCTCACCAAGATAGTGCACTGTTTTTCCCAAGGTGATGTAGATATAAACCACGAACTGAAGCTTCTTAAGATTGAGAGTAAGTATCATATCATTTTTCCTCCACCAAGTCATTGATATACATATACCTTTCAGCTGTCGATATCGAAGGAATTCCAACAAAAATAAAATATGACCGGAAGTATTCTAAAGAATCGGTTATGAGGTATTCCCATGCCCCCATCCATTGGAAGGTGTTTGCTGAAAACCTGAAAGAGATGTATTCTAGAGTAAGAGATTCAACAAAGTAAGAAAAGCGTTCATACGTAGTGAAACAAGAATAATTCACCAAGATTTAAACTGATTGGTTTTAAAATACGGACTGGAATCACCAATGTCATTTCCTGAGCTCTAAGCTGTTTATATGTTTGGATATGTTTCAAACTGTATTAACTTTGAGTTTTCTCATTTCCAAGACTCTACAGTTGTTTAAACAGGGAATACCCGCTAGGTTGATTCAAAAGTTTTGTCCGTTTTAACGTCGTGTGTTTTTGTAGTTCCTTTCATCAATATTTATTCTACTGTGTCGCAGTATATACTGATCGATAGAGAATTTTGTACTCTATATATATGATAATTTGAACTGGTTAGAGCACATTGAACAACTTAGCATTAAACTGTCGAAATGCACATTTCTTCTTTGGAAATTGAAAGATATAATCTCTCAACAGGCGCTATTATCAGCTTACAGCGCTCTTTTCCATTCTCACATCTCATATGGAACAATTCTCTGGGGAAATAGTACTAACGCAAATAGGATATTTATGTTACAAAAAAAGGCCGTGAGAATATTATCTGGGGCTGGTTTCTTAGACTCCTGTAGACCTCATTTCCTTTCGATGAAAATAATGACAGTACCTTGTATTTATCTATATGAACTTTTGATAGACATTCATAAAAATGAATCAACATTGAACAGAAATTGTGATTTTCACGATCATGAGACTAGAGGATGTGATTTGTTGAGGGCCAGTAGATTCAGACTGAAAAAATCAAGTAGAAACTATCGATGTCAAGTTATACAATATTCTACCTCCCCATGTCAAAAAATTAAATCAATACTTGTTCAGAAAGTATCTGAAATACCTATTGATTTCAAATTGTGTTTATTTTACTGACGAATATATAGCTGTCTTATCCAGAGAAACACAAACGAACGGCTCAACAGTATAATATTCATTCTTGAGTAATAATGTATGTGTGTATATGTGACTTATCTTATTTGTATGTGAAAAAAAAACAAAATATACATTGATGCTGTTCTTTTTTCAAAATTCAATTTTTCACAATGATACTTGAAGAGGGATGAGGCTGGTTCTGAATTACGGACAGCAAGCCCATGTTCATATACTCTGTTGGAGAGACCTATGTATGATTGAATTCAGAACCGAATTTATTTGGGCAGGCTGATGATTTGACTTAGCATTAACATAGCAGTTAGTATGGGTTGTTTTTTGGTAAACAGTGTGTGAGAGGAAATATTGGATTTTGTGATGAGAACGTCCAGGAATGGAAGTGAGGTGTTATCTTCGACTTCCCTTGTGAATTTTAGGTTGGAACGTCAGAAGTTAATGTAGTTTGAGAATGATGGAGAACTCCAAATCCATGAGGCATATAAGAAAAATGTTATCTACGTATAGAGCCAATACGTAGATTAAGATCAGACATGTCAATGGCTCTGGTTTCAAAGTCTTCCATGTACAGGTTTGCAAGAACTGGAGAGATAGGGGAACACGCCTTTCATTTGTTTGTAAAATTCACTCTGGAAAAGGAAATAGATGTTTGCCATACAGTGGCAGAGAGTAGGATGAGAGTGTCTTGGGGAATTTGGTGTTTCATTTTGAGGACGGATAAGGTTTCGGATAGTAGGATATTCGTGAAGAGGGATACTTCGTCAAAGCTGACACGGATGTCTGTTTCAGAATTTTAATGAAGTGGTAGGAATTTTGGACAATGGGCATGTACTATTGCAGTTTGTAAATATTTCCCTACAATAAGGACAATTTCCTAGTACACTAAAAGTCAGTACTGTTGTTCCGATACCTAAAATTCCAAACACAAATAATCAAGTGAATATCGTCCCATTAATACACTGCCGGGAATGGAGAAATTGTTGGAAATGGCTGTATATGATCAACTAATGAAATATATTAACAAGAACAATATCCTAATAAAAAACCAATCTGGATTTCGAAAGAATTTCTCCTGTGAAACGGCTCTACAACTGAGTGTTACTAAGTGGATACAATCAATTGATAAGGGAGAATACGTTGTTGCGGTTTTTCTTGATTTACGAAGAGCATTCGAGACAATTGACAGGAATATCCTTTTAAAAAAATTAGAATTAGTTGGGATTAAAGGGGTTGTGCTAAATTGGTTTAAAGATTATTTAAATGATCGACAAGTGAATTATCCAATCCAGTCACTACAAAGTTCGGAGTGCCCCAGGGAAGTGCACTGGGGCCCTTGTTGTTTTTGATTCACATAAATGACATAAACACATACCACACTAGTGACTTTATCAACTCATTTGCTGACGACACGTTACTATCTATAGCACATAAAGACCTGAAAGTAGCTATAGAAAAGATGAACTCATTTCTAAATCAAATTGAGAATTATTTTTTGGCAAATGAAATGAAATTAAATACTTCAAAAACGAAAGCTATGATTCTAACAACCTCTTACAAATATAAACAAATAAATATAAATACTCTTTCCATGTATGCTGATGGTCAGAAACTTGAATTTGTGAAAGAACTCAAATATTTAGGTTTTATGTTGGACAACAGTATGTTTTTTGGTGCACACTATAACTGTATGACTAAAAAGATTTCAAGAAAGGTATATATTTCTTCACTAGAATTTCGAAACACCTTTCTACAAATGCGAAAATAACCGTATATAATACAATAATACAGCCCCATTTTGATTATTGCAGCACGCTGTTATACAGTTTTGACCAAAATTAAATTATGTCGCTGCAAAAGTTAAAGAACAGAGGAATGAGGGTGATTCTTGGATGTAATCGTTATGCAAGTATAAGCTTTATGATCAGTGTGTTACAGTGGATGTCTATTCGTTAAAGGTATTACTGATCAGCAATGATATTTATTTTTAATATAACCAATCATATGCTACCTTCTTATTTCGAAGAATTTATCATTTATAGAAATTCCACTCACAATTACACTACTAGACAAAATGACAATTTTCACCTGCCACGATGTAGTTTATCAAACTCCATGAAAATTTTATTATATAAAGGCCTCATTGAATATAACAAACTTCCCCAAAATGTGAAGAATAATAAAAACCTTTATGTATCTATAACCTTACTATGTTTGTCTATACAACATGAAATATTACGTGTATTATGTTTGTGTATTAGGATCTTCCTACCAAATAAAATCATTCATTCATTTTGATGAGAACTATTCGGCTAGTGGTTGGAGAGTATTAGCAAGGTGTTTGGCTATGGCGTTTGTGGTAGATCCGGAGACACTGACGATAGAATGATGTGGGATGTTTGGTTTGTGTATTTTTGAAGGACCATATATACGAGGTGTACGAGAAGATTCGTCTCTTGGAATAAGATATTTCTTCTTGTTAGGGAAAATGTTGAAGTTGTTGATGAGACCTGTGGTCTTCTTTTCAAAGTGTGTCGTAGGATCTCTGGTTGTTGGTTGGTATTCCACCAACTACATCAACAAAATGACATTACTCGAATCTCTCTTCTTATACAACGTAAATTGTTCATAAGAAATGAAGTGATTTGAATTCCAGTAAAAAGTGATTGAAGAATTGGTTCAAACTCATGCACGTTTGTTTCTCCAGATGTGTAATTAGTAGGCGTTTTTTATATCCCATAGGCATAAGTCCAAAGTAATGTTTTCAATTTCAGCCCCAAAATCACCATCGAGAACGGAAAGTCTGATGAAATAAAAAAAGTTCCGGTGAGCGAAGTCAAGCCAATAAAAAAAGATAGTAAGAAAACAGAAGATAAAAACACTCTGGAAGTTACTGTGGGGGATTACAGAAGACATAAGTCGAGTGACCACAAAAGAGACAAACATGCCAAAACTGATGGACCTCTCCGGATCGAAACCAAGATCAAAGATGAACATAAACATAAGACTGCAAGGTCAGCACTGGAGGCGAAAATTAGGGAGCACAAGAGAGAGGCTAAAAATGCTGACGATATCAAAACGAAGAAGGAAGATCTCACTAAAAAAGACGTCAAAGATATTGAAGATGTGAAAAAAATTGTTGGAGAGGTGGAAGATATTAAAGAAGAGCCCAAAACCGTTATGGCGAAAAAAGATGGTAGAGACACTTTTGACTCTACTGTGAGAGAAGAAAGGGGTGAACCGAGATCTTCTCGAGCCAAAGAAGAAGAAAAGCCACCTAAGAGAGAAACGAGTAAGTCCAGAAAGGATGATCAGAGGAAAGATGATAAACTACACAAATCTCCCAAAGTAGCTAAAACTAAATCGAAAGCTGATTTAGAGAAACCAGACAGGAGCCCAGGCAAATCCAAGACAATGTCGAAGAGAACTACCAGCTCCGAGAAAAAATTGGTAAAGAGCATGGCCGTGTGTGATGATGATTCGGACAAGCTTCCTAAGAAAGACGATGAGTGTGTCCAACAAGAGAAAAGTTGTTCCAAACTAGATGAAACTGCCATGAACGAAGACTTTTTGTTTGGCGATGGACAAGTGAAGAGTAATGGAGGTGTAAGCAGCTTGCCAAAGAGTGTCAAACCTCCAAACATTTTGATTTACGCTGACAGTTTGGTTGCCAAGGAAAATGTCAGATCTGCCCTGGTGTCTATGTTGAATAAAGACAAGTAAGCAGTGGATTTTTGTTGGAAAGGTAGAAAGATCTTTTTCGTTTTAGATACACGATCTATGATTTACCCACCGATCCAAACCAAATGATGTGGAATTCATCAACGGTGTTAGTAGTGATTTGCGGTTCGGTACCACCGAACCTAACTTTTCATTTGCTGCAGTTTTTACTGTGTGGTGGTCAGTTGTTGTGTCTATGCAGCGATTTTTTGTATAGCGTTCTCCATACTTTTACTACGGCAGAGGTGAGTATGAGGGTTCGAATAATTGAGGAGGAATTATTTTAGAGCTCGAATAACTATTATTAATTGGTGTTTCACTTCATGATTGTTCATCATCTCAGTCAACATAAATTAAAGAGTGAATTTCATTCTTAAGGAACTCCAATTTGTATACTTCATCTACACATATGAAATGTTTGACTATACAGGGTGTTTCTCAGTAACATATTCAAACAAAATATGCTTCTGACCTATTAACTACATTTTTATTCTCAATATCCAGTTTCATAACAATGTGTAAATGTCTGAATTTAATTATTTAATATGTGTGATTGACGACTTGTTTACTTTATGGTAATTTATGATCACTTAAATGAAATGGATAAAAACACTTTTGTCTAAATACCACTGGTAAATTTTATTTATAGGACCACTGAAATCTGAATTTTCAAATATCGGTTTTAATAGAATTTTCAGGTATGCTGCAAGGACAGGTATCTGAGATACAGGATGCCAACTTAAAATACCACCCTGAAAATTTTAGGAGTTGTTAAACTGTCTGTTAAAAAAACAATAGAACAGATTTGCTTAGAAAGAAAAGAGTATTTCAAAAATCATTTTCACTTTAAAATGACTTACTGCATATCTTTCAAAATGCTACTGACAAAAATAAAAAATTATGTTGCATAGCAGAAAATGCCTTTTGATTCATAAAAGAAGCTTACTACGTTTGTTTGAAGATGATTGACAATGTTTCATGATAAATTTCATTGGTTCGGACTTCCATTGTCTAATATTATATAAAATGATTTGAAATCTCTAAAAGAACCAATACAAATGAAAATCGAAAAGAATAGCTGAAAATAACAATTATATCAAGCAAAAACCGTGAAATGAAATTACAGTGAAATAAAATACAAGTAAGAAATAGATCACTGGAACAATAAATAAAGAAAAATTAAAAAGTGAGAGATTCCAAGCCAAGTTATTTCACGACGTTTCGATTGTTAGTATCCACCATCGTCTTCGTGTGATGACTGATGATGACATCATCAGCGTAAGACTTCCACAATGGAGAAGCTTACTAAGTTTCACAAAAATATTCAGGATCATACCAAAACTTTCATTAAAAATAAGATTTTTTCTCGAAAACTTTTGCACCTTTTATTTAAAAATTCAATACCTTAGGGATACGTGTTTATATGAAGTTTTTTTTCGAAAATTACTCAATAATAGGCTTTTTAAATATCAGCATATCAAGAACCATCCTGTATTTTATAGTTGAGTGTTCCAAACTTTTTTCAATTCAAATAATATTGTCATTATGAAGTTACTTCCGACCAAACTTGTATAATAGTGTTGTCATAAGTGTTTACCATTATCATTAATCGCTTTTTTTAAGGTGAGAGAGCATGAACTAGTTCGATTCACTTATGGGAAGTGGAAGCAAGTCAAAATGATGCACCACATTTTCTGCTACCAAGCTTCTCCTACCAAAAAACAGTTCTCCAAAGATTCCGATCACTCAAATCAAAGGTGGGTAATGTTTTATTTAAAGACTTAGTTTCAGATATGTTGTTATTTTTTTCATATTAGCAAAGTTTGGATGCAAATTATATTTGAAAAAATGAAAACACTGTTTTGGTGTTCATTTGTCATCTGATTTTCGTTCCAAATTTTTTCATGTCTAGTTGTATTACCACAGTAGGATAATACAACCAGAAGGTTCTCTTACCACGTTATCCGCCCAAGTTGCCGGGGACCTTCAACCGCTCTTAGGATGAGATTTTCATCCAACGTGTTCAGTGCTGTAGTATCAAAGGATTCGACGGTCCACGAGAATCGGAATAGTTACAATAAACGGTCGGAAATTGATATTGTGTTTTGTTTATTCGCTGTTGTTATTAATGTTTTTAGTTTTTGTAGTTGGTTATAAGTAACTTATCACAAATTCTTCTATAATATCCTTCAATTTCGTTTTTATATGAGCGCAAGCCTATGGTAAAAAAACAAAATTGGCTCCGCACTTCGTTTCGGGGTCACCGAGAACTTTTTTAATTTATGAATGAAAGTAGTGGGAGTGGACTTACTGGTTGAATTTTACTATGGTATTACTATAAAAATTACGTGGTACTGCATTGGATAGGATCAAAGGGGTATGAAACTACAGCAAACGCCAAACATGATGGCGAGCTCGCCCCATGCACCCAAACTCATTTTCAATGAGCTCTTGTAAGACATAATAATGCTCTGTACAGAGACGTTTCATTACTCGTCCTCCAATGCTGTTGGCGTTTAGCATTGTTCAAATACTTTGTGTTGTTTATGAAAAAATGTCAACGCCTAACAAAAAACCAGTCGTCAAGAGTTTTCAAGTGTTGAATGTGAGTGGGATACGTTGTCAAATGTGAAAAATAAAACATCTGTCGCTATAGGCAACGTTAAATACATTAATTAATTTTTCGGTAATTAACTAGTGGAACCACTACCTGCGAATTAATTTGTCCGCTTTCTAATCTATTGTTGACAAATGAATTTGCAGGTAGTGGTTCCACTAGTTAATTACCGAAAAATCAATTAGGATAATCATCATTTAACAAACAAAGTCCACATCGGACCAAAAAAACTTCAGGTATATAAACAGCTAACCCTTGTCTTTAGGATTCAGTATCAATTTACTTCTCCTGAAGATGCTAACCTTGTTAGCGAAACGCGCGTCCAGTGCAAAAATATCAGTTTGGTGTGAGGGTAATTGATCTCTAGAAAAAGTTTTCAAAAATCGGTTTGCAAAACCACTCACTACCTCACCTAACCCCACGAACACACGGCACTGATAAAGAAATATTGTGAAACGGACAAAAAATTAGTATTCAGCCAGTCCAGCTAGCCGAGCCTTTATTCCTCAACTACATTTGATAGCACGTTTACTAACTATCTGGCCGACTAGGGGCCACAGGCAAGAAATGTTTATGACTGTACTCTTATTTTTATTATCGTTCCAATTGGGAATGGATAGACTATACCTACAAAGTCATAGGTCTCACATGAGAGGTGAGGGTTTTGCATTCGGTATTCGGAGTATTCAGCATCTTTTTCACTATTTGTATTCGGCCGAATTATTCGGTTCTAGTATTTGAATACCTTACTTATGGATTTTCAAGTACCGTCCTATTCCATCATATATTATTATATCACGTTTTTTCAACCAGCAGCGGGAACGGTTCGAGTCCGATCGCTCCCAGAACGCCCTCTGCCGTCGAAATTCAACACAACGGCAAAAACTTCGTCATCCAAGTGCAAGTACTAGGTACAGAAGAAACTTGGCAGACTCCCAGTTTGCTTCTGGCGACCGTCAAGGGAGGTGAAGGGAGAGCCATATTCTCGCAGGTGCATCTGGAAATCGACCCAAACGAGTACGAGGACGACGAAAAGAAATTCGAAGCTTTGAAAGATAGCGATCAGGCCAGGTTAGAGATCTTGGGAGACATTCTTTCGAACCATCTCGATATTGATTGCAGGAATAGAGTCTGCGACATTGTTTATGCGCCAGCGTATTTTTTGGGAAGGCATGATGTGAGTAATGATAAACTTTTTGATAGCGATGAAAGTATAAAAGTATAAAATGGAACGAAAGATGCTTATTTTACTTAGATTTAAGACCTTTTGAATATTGATTTTTTGATATAAACTTTATAATAGAATCAAATAATAACATTAACCTCCTGCTAACAAGATGGTATTTAGAATGATCTTTCTGTTTGGAAGTAGTCTATCATTTGCTTTTGCGCATGTTACAATATATGAAAGCCAATGTAGATGAAAGTACAATTGAATCAAACACTGGCACCCTCTTCCCTACAAGAGGGTGTCAATTTAACCCTGGTTTCTGTATCTGTAGGGAGGAGTTGTCCTCCTAGGTCATCGTCCATCCTGTCCTTTCCAGGAAGGTGGAAACGTCACTAAGAGACATCTCCTTTATATCGACAGGTTTAGGCCAAGACTCGCCGAACATACACTCTCTTTGATAACCTTGAGGTGTCTCACGGTGGGCTCCGCGAAGGTTTAGGAAGGTGCAGTGACATTACTGCCGTTGCGCGGCTTCTCCAACCTTCTTGGGGTTCCCTCCGTGGAGGTGCACAAGTAAGGGAGCTTTCCTGTAGGGGCAGCCGGTTCCTTGCCTTTATTCAAGGCGGAGCTCTTGGCGTCCGCCGCAGGAAGTGCCCTCGCTGTTGGAGGTGGAGTAGGGGAGGAGGAGGGTGCACTTATAGTTGCTACCACTCTTGCCTCCTTCGCTCTCTTTCTCCATTTGGCCTCGACGCCGCAAATGCGCTTATGTATTGGCCTTTGTATTACATCACGAGGTGATCATCCCCAGCCACCGCCTTAGATTGAGGTGAGCACTTCTGTCCAGCCCCGGGATTGGTTTCTGTTTTTGTTGTTTCTGTTTTCGTGTTTGTTTCATTCGTGTGTGTTCCCACGAGTAGCAACGGAAGAGTTGGTCACCTCTGGCAGAGCCCCGCATTACCAGAGGTAGGCTGATTACAATGAGGTTTCTCCCAGTTCCCCAAGGGAATAGCCATTCAGCTATCGACACCTTAGCTTGGGTAGGCTGGTCCACGGTGGCATGTTTTGCAAAAGCTACTTATTTCTGCCACTCACCAAGAGTCCAGCGACCTCGTCCGTAAGGCCACATTGGCTTCCCGGGCAGGGCCTCCAGTCCCCTGGCCGTTCCCCTATCCGCCACCTGGAGACGCGCCTGATAGGTAGCCCAACCCACGGGTTAACCCTGGGTTAAATGTATATTTAACAAAGTTAAATATAAATTCGACCATGTTCAACCAAATTAAATATACCTCTATTCCAACAGATACTTTTTTATACTACTCGTACAAGGTATAAAGTAGTTCACAGGGAATTCCAAGAATAGTTTTGTAGAGACGGATCTTTTCAAGAAGTTCTGTCATTTTCATTCACAATCAATGTTCAACCGGTTAAGTTGTATCTCATAAGTGGAAATAATAATACGTTTATTAAGGAGGTTGCTAGTCAGGCCTGAAGCTCCGATCCGTTTGGAGAACGTGCCAGCTTCGTTAACCTTAACCGTGCGGTCATTAGGTCCAAGAATCGTGTGCACTGAGCAGATGTAGCAAATCAAGAACGACAACATTCTGTATTTGTGCGGCTGAGATGTCTATAATTTTCAGGCAGAGCTGAAATCTCTAAGATGAATTACGTCTTACTTCGATGATTGGTTCAATATCCCTTGGAGTTTTAGGCAATACCGCAGAAGAGCCAAATATGATAATATAACACTTGTAGTGTCTTCTTATGCTGATTCATATAGACTGACACCATCCTGGCAGCTTGTGATGAATTCTTCAGTTCCGACTTTAGTTCACACGACCTGAGGAAACTGAGGGTCAGATGCTTGGATAAGCCGAGGTCTTCAATGTTATTTTCAAAGGTCAAAGGTTTCTGCCCACTATACCGTACCAAACCATGACCGTAAACGTACTGGCACATGCTAAAAAATATTCTTTCATACAATTTATAGGAACCAACGGTTCCGTCACCGGTCCGGCACGTAGCGTAGCATACACGTGCCATCACAGTATTCAAGTGTAGAATATTTTGCCGGTGCTGATACGCAACGTGCATGGCACGCAACGTTGCTAAACCGTAGGTCTCATGCAGCGAAACGGTGTATAAACGGGTTGTAAATCTTTTTCAGTTTTATTCAGCAATACATTCCATTGAAATGTACATTCGAAAATACTGAAAAAATGTTTCCTCGTCATCAACTAAATGTCCAATATTCTCCTTCACTTTGTCGTTATTTCGAAAAGTCGTGAATCGAATAGCGTCGATTTTTTTTGAGTTTCTGCTTCTTCATCGTCAAAACTAATAGCTACCAATACCAATTGTCTCATAGCCATATTAGTTCTTCGTGGTAAACTCTTCTACACCTTCACACTACACTGATGAGTAAGCCGGAATAACATACAATACTTCACATTACCTATAGTTGTCAAAGAGGTATCTAACGGTCATCATACCCGTATGATACGGTCATTATACGTGTTGCTTACGTTCTTAGAACACGGTTGATATATTACAGTAGGCAAGGTAGACCGTGTCGTGTCATTTTCCGTGTCTGATACGGTCCTAGCATGGCCGTGGTTAGTAAGGTATAGTGAGCAGAGACCTCAACAGTCGGGTGTTTGGAATGGTACCTTTGTCAATATTCATAGTTCTCACGCCACATTCTTCTATTTCCAGCATCCAAAAATCTAGTATCATGTACAGATCTCGGTAGTTTCAGATAAAAATTTTAAGAAAACTTACGGACTTCATTCCTTTTGTCCTTAAAGTATTTCCATGTTTTATTGATATTTTATAATTTGGTTAAATTTCTGCGTTTGATTTAGTTTAAAATATTTTTGATTTTTGCCATCATCTGAAAACACAAGTTTTTCAAATTGCAAGGGGTATATTTTTAGGAGAGAAATATTTTGCTTTCTACTCTATCTTTATACCAGAAATGTGATAAACCTCCAAAGAAAGCAAGAAATTAATTAATTTGAAAGTAAATTATTCACAAAGATGTGTAGATCATGCATATACAAACTGGAGGAAAAAACCCTGTCAAAACACCTACTTTCATATGAACATTGTTTGTATGAAGGGGAAGTAGAACGCCAAAACCTCCTTTCCCCAACAAGTTTTTCAATTCGAATACTCCTCAAACTAACTACTGAAACACATTCATTGTTATCCAGTAGATTATTTTTTTCAGATGAAACTAAAACTGTTGGATGAATGTGATAGCATTAAGGAGAAGAGGATGGAATGCGACAAAGTATCAGTGAAATTTTGTGGGAAAGACGAAGATCCAGGATCTGCAAGTAGCAGTTTTATGCCGATATTAATACATTCCTGCCCATCTAATTTCTCGACTGTTTCTTATTTCGAGGTATTTATTAACATTTTCAATAGCATAATAAATAATAAGAAGCAAAGCAAAGCAGGACCATGAATATTATGTAGGAAACTTTTGTCAGAGAAGGAATTTTTATTCTGGAATATGAGTGTCAGATGTAAGAATAACATCAAGAAAGATTTCGAGGAGCTTGAAATTACAACATGTGGGTTACAACTGTCTCTGGATCAAATGTAACAAAAAATTCGCTATTTTGTGAAAGCAAAAAGCTATTAGGTTGTGAAACTTTTGTCCGTTTTTATTTGTCTACTCTAAACTGTAAAATCTCAGTGAATACTCATTCAATTTAATCAAAACGAGCGCCATTTGAATCAGTTTTTTCAAGGACAAAAAACAAGCACCACAGGAATGTCCTTAAGGTGCTCTAAGAGCGGTGCCTGTGCGAAAGTAGTGATTCATTATGGATTTGAATCGCTGGAGATTAAATCAATTTGGAAATACGTTCTCAGGAAGTTTATTTCACATAAACGTAGTTATCCAAATGCAAATAGTGAAGTTCAAGATATAATAATATTATCTGAATCATGGCAAATAGATGATATCCAAATTTTTTCCATTCCAAATTTTGAAATATTATATAATGAATCTTGTTTCAATCAGAACGATGGTTTAAATTAGGAAAAATATCAACTTCAATTCTGCAATAATACACCTAAATGGAATCAACTTATCAGAAATATCATTTTCGATATAGGTAGTAGATCATATTTATTAACTGCATCATATTGTCCACCATCGTCTAATTTGGAAACATACTTATCAGATATTGAGTCCTACTTTACTAACCAACCAGATACTGATTTGAAAATATTCATTGGGGACATTAATATAAATATTTCGAATACATCAGACACACTAGACTAGTAAACAATTATATATGCACGATGGCTGAAATGGGATTTTTTTCATTCATTAATAAACCAACCAGAGAAATGACTAACTGTACAAGCCTAATTGACCACGGTTATGTGAAAATTTCAAAAAAATATAACATAAAAATCAATCCTTATTTATTCAAATGTGATATAACAGATCACTACATGATACTGTTATCGGTAAAACTTGATGAAAATTTGAAAAAAACCGATTTTTGCCCGGAAAACTCATACACTGTTCGTGAAAGCACTGAAGAAAGAGACTTGGGAGTCTATTATGCAATCCAGAGATCCAGAATCTGCATACAATACCTTTATTGTTGAACTGGAAAAGCATATTGATAATTGTACAGAAGTAAAAAAAAAATAACTAAACAGACAAAATTGGAACCATGGATGACAGATGGTCTTCTCATTTCTATTCACCATAGAGACAAATTAAACTTCTACAGAAATTTCCTGACAAAATTTATCCGAGAAACTAAAAAAAAAAGTCTATAGTAACAAAATATTAGAGGCTAAAAATGATTTAAAGAAAGTCTGTCAGAATGTAAATGAAATAACTAACAGCGAAAAAATAAGTCTTCTGGTGATGATATCAAAGATTAAAACAAACATAAATTCTTATCAGATAAAGAAAAAGAGAATTTTTTCAATCATTTTTTTGTCGGAATTGGTGAAGATATGGGAAGTGAAATAGAAAAGCCTATATACCCCGTTTTAGAAAGCCGCAATGATATCACCAATTCAATATTCCTACACCCAGTCACAAGAAATGAGTTGATCGATATCGTTTCTGGATTAAAAAATTAAACTTCTTCTGGTCCCGATAAGATATCTGTGTTCCTTATCAAAAAGTTTCAAAGTACTTTTTAGAACCCATATGTCACATTTTGAATTGAATATTTACTGTAGGAAAAATACCTAAATATTTCAAAGACTCAATCACAATACCGATTTTTAAGTCTGGTGATAAAAAATTAGTAACAAACTTTTGACCCATAACTATGATTAATAACTTATTCGAAAAATGTCTCAAAAATAACATACATACAATACATACGTACATACATGCAATAATAACAACATTTTTTCTGAATCACAATATGGTTTTCTAGAAAACAGATCAACAGAAAACACAGTTTTTGGGATTGTTAACCAAATCAACAACTGTTTTCAAAATTAACAATGCATAACTGTCTTTTTGGATTTGGCCAAGGCATTTGTTACTGTGGATCATAATATACTCCTTCAACGTTTAGATAACATTGGTGTGAGGGGTGTTGCTTTCAAAATATTTGAAGACTATTTGACAAATAGAACACAGATTGTCAAGGTAAACGACTCTCTGAGCGACCCACTAAAAATTACTCAGGCCGTACCCCAAGGAACTGTATGAGGACCCATCTTATTTCTAATATATGAACAACATCTTTAAAATTTCTGATTTTAATGGTGAAATAACTTCATTTGCTGATGACAAAGCTATCACTTTTGTTGGAAAAACGTGGGAAGAAGTATACACTCAGTCTGAAATCGGCATTAAAACGATTTTCAACTGGTTGAGTTCTAATTTATTGAGTGTTAATGTTTAAAAAACCAAATTTATTGCATTTGCTCCAACAACTAGAGATCAACCAGCTACAAACATCATAAAAATCCACAAAACATCTTATGCAAATGTTCCAAATTGTAGCTGTACTTCTATAGAGAAAACGGATACAATAAAATACCTAAGGGTATTAGTGGATCAATCTCTTCGGTGGAATGCACACATTGATTATACAGTAGCTAGACTACGTAAATTAATATATGAATTTTATCAGCTCAGGAATATACTAAACAGGGAAATGATACTGATGGTCTATGATGCCTTGGCTAACTCCATAATACGTTACTGTGTAATAGTATGAGGTGGTATCTTCAAGACATCGCTAATTAACTTAAAAGTGATTCAAAATTCATTAATAAGAATCATGATGAAAAAAGATCGGAGGTATTGTACCCAGTCATTGTATGATGAAACTGGGATATCCGGTGTTAGAAAAACTTACATTTTTCAGAGTTTATTATGGACTGCTAATTCTTCAATCAAATTTGTATAGCATGCTTTTAATACTCGTAACACTTCAGTTAAGACCATGAATGTTTCACGATGCAGACTCATGCATAATAAAAAATTTATAACCTATCTGGGACCTAAACCTTACAACACTCTACCTGAATCATTGAAAGGCATGAGAAACAAACTTTAATTCAAAATAGAGTTGAAAAAATTTGTTGACAATAATTATGATATGCTTCTTCTAATATTTGAATAAGAAATATCTATTATTGGAGGTGTCTTTCAGAGCGCATCACAGACAGATCTTTCTCTCTCTCTCTCTTTCTCGTCCTCTGTCTTCTTCTTACTATCTCTTCCTTTCTATACTCTGTTCACTGTTTGGTTATACAAGAAAATATATACTATTTAGTTTGCTGGCTACAATACAAGCTTGCTTAGGTAGCCGTAACTTTCATTAGAATTGTATAATCTCTACATTTCATATACCATTTATTTTATTTTTTTATCCTTTTGTCATAGACGACTATGTATTTTGTCTTATTACTGAATTGAATAAATTTACTTACTTACTTACTGAGTTGAACCTCAAAATGATGAGCAGTCACAGTCCGTCGCATATTTCTGGTATGTACCGCTCTTGGTGGAATGAAATGTGCCAAGTCACTTGAACACTTCCGGTGAAAGTATCTATAAAAGAAAGATAAATCTCCAACCTTTCTTCGATGTTCCAGACTATCAAGGTTGCAATTGATGTTTGCATCTCCAACCAGGCGGATGGCTCTTTTCTGGATGTAATCCAGCAGCTTCAGGGTATGCTTAGGGTCGTAGCTCCATACATGAGAACCACATTCCATAGAAGTTCTGATCTGACTTTTATAAAGCATCAAAAGTAGCTGAGGTGTGTACAGTTTTCTGATTCGGAACAGTGTTCCAAGCTTTTGAGAAGCAGCCTTTGCAATTCCAGCGACAAGACATATTGGTGTCCATTTTAACCCCCAACAAACTTATAGAAGCAGAAAGCGAAATTGTCTTACCTGACATTATTATATCCGGTTCGTAGACATTAACCTTTTTGGAGAAAACCGATGCCTAATACAAAATTGAAAAAACTAATTTGATTATTTTTTGATTATCGATCAACTCTACATTAAATTTCTATAATTTGAAATTATAAAACTGGCTTTCAGGCATTGGAAACTGAACGCATAGGTAGACTAGTTTTGTATTCCGATGTGATGACCAGCTCCCAGCACGTGCTTAGCAAAAAGTTGGCACACGGATTGGTTGTCATTCCTAGACAACAAACTGAAGGAATCGGTAAGTTAGGGATTTAGAACTTCACAATTTTTGAACAATAACCACTACCTGTTTTTGTCTCCAGGCAGATCCAACAACCACTGGCTCAGTCCGATAGGTAGCGCAATGTTCTCTTTGCAACTACACATTCCACTAGCTTCTCCTCTGGGAAAAGTATTACCGTTGGTCCAGCATTTCATATCAGTTGCTGTTGTGTCCGCTATCAAAACCAAGAAAGGATATCAGGTAAGTCATAGAAATTTGAATCCTGGTGAAACCGACTGTTGAGAATATGCTTTGCGACAATTTATTGGAATTTTTTGCACTCTCCAATTTATTTGGGTGTTTTTTTTTTCAGAATCTAGATATTGGCATCAAGTGGCCAAACGATCTCTATGCAAACAAAAATGTGAAGATTGGTGGTGTTTTGGTGTCCTCTTTCACAGAGCGAGATGTAGCAGTTATCAACGTTGGTGAGTAGGAACTTTTGATTTGTTTGAAATTCAGATTGTGATTTTGTCGGTAGCTTGTTTGGGCAGATAGCGCTGTCTGCTAAGAAAGTTGTAATTTGTTATACTAGATGAAAATGATAGCAGGGGTAGAATTCTCGAAACACAAATTGAGAATAGATAGATAGATAATTTATTGGTGTTTTATACATTCATCAGTATTTACACAAGTCAATATGTACATATAATTAAAATTAGTATATGTCAGGCATCTATTAATATTTACATAAACAATAGATGCTTACAATTCATAGAACAATTTTTTTTCTTTTTTTATAAAAAATATTCATATCTTATAAGTACATCTGAGTTATGAAGACGAGCACATTTAAAAACAAAGCAGTAAAATTTAAAATTGGGTATTATCAAACAACGACAAATGCCTATATGGTTAAGGAACTTATATCACAGTGCAGGAATTCTTCGGTGCTGAAGAAGGCGTTTTTCATTAAAAAATATTTTATCCTGATTTTGAATATGTTAATAGGTAGAAATCTTATTTTTTGTGGTAATTTATTGTAAAATTTCACAGCCCAAAAATTTGGTCCATTTTGACATCTTTTTAAGCGGCAGTAGTTTGTACTCAAATCATTTTTATGCCTAGTGTTGTAGTCGTGCACATTTTCAAAACTTTCATACTGAGATAGATTATTTTTTATATATATTGAATTTTCCATGATATATAGAGAAGGAAAGGTTAGTATTTTTAATGTAATGAATGAATTTCGACATTCATCTCTGTAGCCGATATTGTCTAATATTCTAATTGCTTTCCTTTGGTGTCGGAATATTCTATCACAATCGGTTGCATGTCCCCAGGCGACAATACCATAAGAAATGATGGATTCATACAAGGAAAAATATGCCGTTCGAAGAGTTGCTTTTGAAACTTGTCTGGAGAGGTTTCTTAGTAAAAATAGATTTCTCATTAGCTTTTTTGATAGTTCATTTATATGATGATCCCATTTTAACTCACTGTCAAAATGAATTCCCAAAAATTTCACTCTACTTTGCGAATTTGAGTAATTTTCCGTATTTCTTAGGGTGAATACCATGTTTTGGGTTTTGTTTTTATTCAGATATAATTCGTTTGCATTGAACCACCTTTCAGTTTGTGACTGTGTTTCGGAGGATAATATAAGTACCTCATCTAGAGTTTTAGCATTTGTTTGGATTATAGTATCGTCTGCATATAAAATATATGATAACGGGTTCTTCCAATATGGTAGGTCATTAATGAAAATTATAAATAGTAGAGGTCCCAAAATAGATCCTTGCGGTACACCAGTTGTAATTTCGCATACGACAAAATATGTTCTTTTTGTTTTCATAACAAGAGTAAAAAATGGAAATCTTATATCATCTTATGTGACTTGTTCCATTCGTGTTGGGAATTCTACCCTTGATCTTGATTTTTGATCAGGTGAATTTTATAAAAAATGGATATTATCACCAACTGATTATGTATTGAGATAAAGAAATTTGAGAGAATCTGAGATCTATACCATTTTGTCGATAATACCGAAAATAATGATAAGTTTGATAAAGTTCAGCTGAACTCGGTCGAGAATAGGTGTATATTTTAGTCTCCATACAAAAAAATATGGGAAACTAAGATTAGTATAAAGGTGGAGAAGTAGAAAGCCAAAAACTTTCTCTCTCGGAAATTATTCTCGTCCAAAAATAAACCCCCTTCAATTTGAAGAAGATTCCTATGGCTGGGATTGAATCAAATGAGCGAATGAAAGTCATTACGTAATGTCATTGTGACATGAGTAGGTTTTACTCGTTTCGTGACAGAAAGTCGTAATGTTATGAATGAATTAAGTGCTTCATCTCGTAATGTTTACAGAGTGTTCCAAATTAAGTCGGCACCATAGCCAACTCCGTTATTATTGATGCCACGAGTTTGCTTGAATGGGCAAACTAGTAGACTTTTTGATGGCATTCTCGATGCCGAAAACAAAAAAAATTGACAGTCGCGTTTTCAAAATATTTCATAAAATGATATATTTTTAAATAGAACACCCTATATTTTCTCATGCATTTCGATTCGTAATAACATTCTCGACAACAAACCTTTATTCCTAAAGTTAAAAATGACCGACTTATATGGAAATATTTATTTCCTTCACTAGTACAAAAAAATGTCTTTGTTTTGGCGAATAAAGAGCTATAAAATATCGAGTAAACATTCAAAAACACCGCCTCCTTGTTGAACATATATTTGGGCCCTTCTCTTGCTTTCAACACAATTTGGCCATCAATTCTATTAATTATAGTTTCAATATAAGTGTTCAGTTCATATACATTATTATGTTTTATTTTGTACACCTCATTTTTCAGAAATCCCCAAAAATAAAGTTTCGAAGCGACTTGATTACTCATAATAATTCCGTTTTATCAAATCAAAGGAAAAAAGTATTAGATTTTAGCTCGAGGTTGTGTTGTCTCCCGACGCGAACCGGAGGGAGATAAAAAACCGAGACATTAAAACTTATGTATGAGTTTGAACATGTTTTGTACTAGTTTGCCCATTTAACCGAATTCCTAGCATCCCGTGTTAGCAATCACACGTTAAAAGGTAAGACCTCGTTAATCCTTAGCTCGCACAAGTTTCGACTTCTGAGGGTTGTCGTTCGTAGGGGTGCGACAGCTGGTTAAGGGAAAAACATATTTTGAACAGATTTTTTTTTAATAATAAGGAAGTTGGCAATGGTGCCGACTTAATTTGGAACACCCTGTATATATATGGAAGTAGTTGTTTCGAGACGGCTCATTCTTCCAGTTTGTATCTGAAAGTAATGTCGATGCATGATCTACACAACTTTGCAAAAAGTTTATTTTGAAATTAATTGTTTTCTTCGTTCAATCAAAAGCTTTCCATATTTTTTTGTATGAAGATGGAGGACAAGGGAGCCAAATCCGTAATATCCCCTTAAAATTTACCCCTTTCAATTAGGAAAGAATTTTTACCTATGATGCCGCTACTCAAACAGTTAACAGCTAATCGGAGTAAGTGAATGTTATGTATTGTTTTGGGGTTTTTTGTATTTCAAGTTATTCAATTGTGAATTTGTGAGAGTGATGTTTTCAGTGCGTTTATTATAGACATGAGAAACTGACGAATATAGCTTATATAGCTTATTGCGTGGTTTAGCAAAGTGATTTTGATGACAAATTTCCTGGGATCGTTCAATAATAGTCGTTAATCTCATCGCCAGAAATATAAATCCCTAGACTTCCTTTATGAAACGTCCTGCAACGTGAGTCAAATACATCTGTACTTATCTCTCGGCTACAGTAGACCATTATATTAACATTATGAACTATGTTTTTATTCCTGTATTTGTATTTCAGGGTGCGGAATCAACTTGGATAATCCGAACCCTACCATTTGCATTAATGATCTCATCCGGATGTCGAATCAAGACGAGAATACCTCGATAAAAACCATCTCATATGAAACATACTTCGCTGAGGTTTTCAACGAGCTCGAGAGGATCTATGAAATCGTTCAAGGAGGTGATACCGAGTACCTTTACGATATGTACTACAAATATTGGTTGCATAAGTGAGTATTATTATTATATTTCAAATGTCTTTCAACAGCTTCTGCTTTATAAGTTATTCGAATGAGTTTTCTCTTGTTACATGTGTTTCTGATTCACAGATGAAAAGTAGTCAAATATGCAAATTTGTAATTTCATTACTCATAGAATTGAATGTTTGTTTAGTTTTTATAATCATTTCTATAATTTTCGAAATATTCAATTCAAGTTTTCTTCTCTTTGTCTTCTATTTTTTTTGCCTTTGCTTCCTCAGAGGGGCACAGTAAATCTTATAATTTAATTTAATTGTTTATTAAGAAAAATTGACATTTTTGAAACTTTCGTTCGACATTTTTTTAATCTGTGCAATTGACAGTTTTGAAATCTGTTAGTTATTATTTTTATTCAAGGAATTTGAACTGCAAAGGTTATTTGGGGATCTATATATTCCAAAATTTTAGTCAATTGGACATAGCACTCAAGGAGGTGGCAAACCATAAACGCGTATTTCGGGCTTTTGGCCCATCATCAGTATGGTGCAGCCAAGTGTAAGGATGGGCAACACTTGGTTACCAACTTTCCCAAAAAAACATGTATTAAAGTAGAAACTCATATTTTGAATAAACAAAAATCGAGAATTATTTAAAAATATATTTTATTATAACAAGGAATACTATTAATTGAATTTGATTTCAATGAAAGTTCATCTTTATCTTTGACTTCAGTATAAAGACTGCTAATTGGTTTTACTGATTTTTTTACCTATTTTAAAACCTATGAGTTATCTTAAACAGCCACAGCCTTGTTACAATAATTTATTTTGTATATTAACACTATGATCACAAAAATTGAAAGTAGATATGAATAAGAAACTCGTGGATTACTACCGGACTGATAAAGTCAATTGAAATTAAAAATAAACTGTATAAAAAATGAAAAATAACCCTTTCAGTGATAATGTATCTAAGGATTTCAAAGGATATAAATAACACTTGGATTTCAATTACAAATGTTAAAAATGAATTTCGACTGAAAAGGAATAGAATTTTACTCAAGTTATTACTCTGCGTCTAATGATTTCATTATTTTTTTATCTGATCAATACCATATATATTGCTGAGAAGAGTGGTGTGATGACTGCTACCTAGGACCTTCCGAATTATTTCTTGATTTTGATTATCTACGTCATTATTATTATTATTATTCAATAAAACCGTTTATAGTCTATTTCAAAAGAGTGTAGAGTAATAAAATCTCATTAAGTATTCAAAAGCGCTACAGGGTGATCCGTCAATAAATTCTGTCACTTCCCTAGTCCGCATTGCAAAATTATGTCGTTTCATAAAGAGCAGGTAGGTATCACCCTGTTTTAAGGGATTTGTCCATTGTTATCGACGGATAAATACTGAGCCAGAGGCGCGCTAGTGGGATAATTGCCAAAAGAATATGCATTCATAAAAATTATATTAAAGGAAATAAAAATTTAATACAGCAGAACAGTGTTATTAAAAAAATATAAAATGTAACAATAAAATATATACGAACCGAAATCGGGAAATACTCACAAACACACACGAACGAACTTTACGTATTGAAACACTTGTGGGGACTTTAAATCAATTTATTCACAAAAACGACAAGAACTTTACTGGATACGTTATTACAATTTGACACTTGAACAATACTAAAACTGTGAACTTCCCTTAACGTTTAACAACACTCTATTTATACCCTAATTGAATGTTCTAGAGATTACTAGGTACAATTTTCGAGAACCTTCCGAGAAAATAATTATTCAGACTACCCTTAATTCTAAACCCTAACCTAAGCAAAAGTGTCACTGTCACTGATACACTGGTCTCTGTCCAGATTGCTTATCCCGCTACAGTATATTTACAATTCAATTAAATTATTCTACATCAGTATAGTCTTCATCCGAAGAACTGTCATCATCCCCTGGTGTTATAATTATAGGGTCAACCACCTGATCGACCAAGTTGTCCAGTTCCCACATTTTATCTTCCTCTTTTAAAACATGCTGTATTGCTTTTTGCCAGTTTTCTGATGTGATTTCCATAATGGCTTGATCAAACAATACCTTGACATCTTTCATTTTAAATGTGGTATTGTGCCTTGCAACATATCCTTTAACTTGTGCCCATATAAGTTCTATAGGATTTAATTCGCAATGATATGGCGGTAGGCGCAGCACAGTTACTTTATACTTTTCTGCTACATCTTCTACAGCATATTTCATGAAGCGAGATTTATGTTGTTTTACTATGGCTAGTAGTTCCTTCTTTACTGAATTCGTCTCAAACTGAATACCTTTATTTGACAGCCAGTTAATAATTTCTTGCTTTCTCCAAGCTGAAGTTGGTACCTTCTCTAAGCGCCTTGAATGGTAGCTTGCATTATCCATAACCACGACCGAATCAGCTGAAAGAAATTTTAACATTTCCCCGAAGTAGTCTTCGAAGACATCCGAATTCATGTTCTCATGATAATCTCCCGTCCGGCACGACTCAAAGCTTAACAAACCTTCTTTTAAAAATCCGTCTTCGCTTCCAATGTGAGCAATTATAAGCCTCTTCCCTTTTCCCGAAGGCACTTTAATACCCGTCGAAAGGCCTTCTATGAAAGCTTGGCGAGAACTTGTTATATTTTTATTTTGCCACAATTTTTTGACTATATAACCTTCGTTTATCCACGTCTCATCAAGATAAAAAATTTTCTTTTGCTCTCTGCGGTACTGCTTTATAGTTGTCAAATATTTTCGTCTCCAGCAAACAATTTCATCACTTTCCAGTAATAGTGCCTTTCGATTGTGCTTTTCCCAGGCAAAATTCATACTTTTTAAAGTTTTCCATAAAAGTTTTCTGGATATCAAAGGAATATCGTTATCTTGGCTTATCTCGATAAATATTTTTTCAAGAGTGGGTATTTCCTTTTTAAAATAAAACGAATGAACTTTTCTTCGAATGTCACATTTGGTGTCTTCATCTAAGATTTTTATTGGTCTTCCTGATTTTCTCTTGCGTGGACTTACCTGGCCTGATATCTTTCTTTCTCGCAATAATTTAAAAATCGTGGACTGTCCAATTCCAGTCATTCGGGCACATCGCTCAACACTTTCTTGCACAGACAAACTAGGGTGATCGTGTTTTATGCAATCATATACATTTAAAATTATAACTTTTTCGCAAACAGATAGCGGAGAATTTTTTACACTTCTTTTCTTTGGAGTAAATGTCCCCATTTTATAACTTTTTCACTATTTCTATATCACAATATCACTGTACGTTTAATTGGTGTAGTAACAATTACTATTATAACTCGAATGTTTAAGACACCATTACAATATATTTAAACCCTTTTTCTTAATTACCTGGGTTTAATAGGTATTGCATGATTGGTGGGCAGGGTCAAAAAGGGATTATTATAATGACATGGCACCTCGGAACTAAGTGTTAACCCTTTTTTGAGAAATCATGCTCAAGTATATGAACCCAAATTGCATATTAAATAAGTTTACAAGAACCACTAAAATTAATCTTAATCTTTTTTTAAGAAATTTTACTTACCTAAATACATGTAGGTACTTAGTTTTAGACCAAATTACTTCCCAAAAATGGCCTTTTATCTATGTCTGTAATTTTTAATTTACTTTAATTATTAAGTTTAATAATCCTAAGATTTGCCTACGCCCATGGACGACAACGAAATTCAGGCAAATTTTATGACACTTCATGATTTATTACTCTACACTCTTTTGAAATAGACTATAACATTATTTTTTTTACTAATTTCATTTAAATTCAGAATGCATATATTTCAAAGCATAATTACCTAATATCTGCATAAGTTGATATAAAATTTTCTAATAAATTAATAAATTTTTATGTGTCAAAAAATGTCATATTTTTCCAGCCTTATCGATTAGAACTAGATAGTTCAACCAAAAAATTACTACTATCAATTTTCTACCGAGTATTTTGATGTTGAAAATGTTATGCTTAATATTTCGATTAAAAAAAATATAGCATATCAAAAACAAAAAAAGGTGAGTTCAATATACAATATTACACTGAATAAATTTGTTTTGCGTTGTTTTCGTGTATTTTTATGAATAACAGGGTTCATAATAACTCAGTTGTACGTTGTACTATCAATCTTGTGACAGTATATTACAGTATATGCTCCCGATTTTCTACCATATCAAATGCCGTGGTTACGCCACTGGTATTAGCTGCGACAACATCTGTTCAATTAGTTGCCGGCGTCATACGAAATTAATCATAGATAATTCGGTGGTCAGTTTGAAAGGATCATCCTGTCACAAGGTAAATAAACTTTATTATTATCTTACATAATACTTATAATGTGTAGGTGCAGGTAGTGAAAGGTTGTTGTATTGTTTTCTTTGTAATTTCGTTCTGTATGCCACGTCCATTACTTGGCGCAGTGTTGTCGCTGCTATTAATAAAAATGAGTATATTAGAATTAAATTCAGTATTGAATTCACATAGCTACTGTTTATCATTTATATAATCACACTTGTGAATTTTTGATAACAATTCATGTTGGATCAGCAGTGGAGAATATAAAAATAATAAGGTAATGTCCTAAAATACCACAAAATAGGTTAAAACTGCCAGGGAAGTAACGTTTCCCTGAAATCTAAATAGGGAGAGAAGTTTTTACCTAAAACCATTGCAAAACCCTCAACTTCCTGAGCAGGGTCGTCCTTTAATCTTTTTTAATGGGTTGTGTGATAATTTGAAAAAGGGTTTTGATTATCTAAGCTGATTCACTTTCGAAAGTGAAAAGAAGAAATTTCACTTCAGCACTCACCGTATTAATCGAGTAAATATTGGAAGTGTCCGCCATTATACGTACAATAATGCAGGTATCTTCGAACCTGTTGTCCGGGTTGAACCGCGTCTGTAATTTTCATCTGTTCGACGTTTCGGCTTCTGCTTTGAAGCAATTTTCAAGAACCACTTGAAACAAATTACATGACTCGACGACGGGGTCGTAGTCTTCATGACCCCCCAAGTCTCGTCACTGGTTTTGTTCTTGCTCTGTTCAGCTCCAGTTCAACTTTTTAGGGTTTCATGTGTGGTGTGTACGTCGTGAATAACACAAAAATTGCTATTGGCCCAGTAACGAATTTTGTGGCAATTAACTACACATTTTAAAAACAAAGTACACTTGCCCGAAAAACACATTAAATAGAAAATAACTATTTTTAATTTTTTGTTTGCTCATGATTTAGCAATATACGTGAATCAAAGTCGTTTTTAATCAGTTCTTGAACCAACCGAATTTCATGAATATTTTTATCATTCGTCCTTTTTTGATACCCTACTCTGTATGTGAAGAAAGAAATTGAATTTGAACCTTAACTATACACGATTTTTCATGTGACGAATCAGCGTTCCTTTCACCTTCCAGAAAGTTTATTTTTAATTATTCATAGACACGTCCTGCACTTACACATGCGAAAAACTCGAAATATCCCACTCCGAACCCTCGATTGTTTCAGATGACGACAAAAACCTGGAAACATCACCTGGTAAACCTCCTAGAGGACAACCGAGGCCTCGTCATCTTGCTCTTCTGCTTGCCGGCCAGCTTTATCTTCGATTTTTTCCTCTTCTTGAGAAAAACCCTCCACAGGATACTATACAGCAGTCCCAAGCTGCATGACTCACGCGTAAAAAAGATCCAATCTCAAGTACAAGCCTGGAACAAACTTCCGAAAGATTCGAGAAAGTTTTTGTGCACCTCCCGCCCCAACTGGTTGAGCCTGTCAACCACGTTCTTCAAGAAGTATGAGTGTCATCAGGTGAACATTGATTTGTTCGATATACTCGCATTGGACGAAGAAAATCTCACCCTGAGGGTAGAGCCGATGGTAACGGTCGGAGATGTGACCCAGTACCTGGTGCCTAAGGGGTATACACTGGCGGTGACCTTAGAAATAGCCGACGCAACCCTTGGAGGGTTGGCCATGGGGACGGGAATGACAACACACTCTCACAAGGTTGGGTTGTACCACGAGAATGTTGTCTCATACGAGGTCGTCTTAGGAGACGGGAGTCTCGTTAAAGCCTCCAAGGAGGAGAACGAAGACCTCTACAAGGTCTTGCCGTGGTCCCACGGTAGCTTAGCGTTCCTCGTGGCTTTAACCGTGAGGATAGTCAGGGTGAAGCCGTACATCAAGCTCAGCTACATCCCCGTCAAAGGCGAAGCGAGCTACTGCGACACTTTGAGGATGTTGTCTGGAGATAGTGGCTCTGACTACCCCACAGCTGACTATGTAGAAGCCACCGTATTCAGCAGGAACGAAGCCGTCATTATGACTGGCGACTATTCGGACTACGACCCCAGCTTACCCGTCAATCACGTCGCTGCGTGGTTCAAACCGTGGTTTTACAAATATGCGGAGACGTTCTTAACTAAAGGCAAACACACCGAGCTGATACCTCTTCGAGAGTACTTACTGCGGCACAACAGAGCCATCTTCTGGGTGGTGGAGTCGATGATCCCGTTTGGCAACCACCCGCTGTTCCGTCTGCTTTTCGGCTGGCTTCTGCCGCCCAAACCAGCTTTCCTCAAGTTTACCACCACGCCAGGCATCCGCAGCTTCACGTTCACCAAACAGGTGTTCCAGGATATCGTCTTGCCGATCAGAAAACTTGAAGACCAGATAAGGACTTCAGAAGAGTTGTTTGACGCCTATCCCCTGCTAGTCTACCCTTGTAGGGTGTATGATCGCGGAGCAAACTCAGGGCAGTTGCGAGCGCCTAAGAGGGAGTACCTCGTCGAAGGTACGGATTACGCGATGTATAACGATTTGGGGGTATACGGGGTTCCTGGATTCGTGAAGCGTAAGGAGAAGTACAATCCCGTCGCTGCGATGAGGCGTATGGAGAAGTTTACTAGAGATGTAGGCGGTTTTTCGTTTTTGTATGCGGATATCTTCATGACCAGGGAGGAATTCGAGGAAATGTTTGACTTGAGTTTGTACGAGGTAGTCAGGAAGAAGTATGGAGCGGAAGGGGTTTTTCCGCATCTGTACGATAAGGTCAAACCGGAGATCGACGTGTTTGCTTTTGATGAGGAGAGTGGGTCGAGTTGAGTTTAAGATTAGTGAGAAATTGTGTTTCTACATTTTTTTAAGACGATCATTAAAACGATTATTTTTAAAAAGCGTTTCAATCTCTTCTATTCATTCATATTCTCTGTTCTCTTGCTTTTCGTCAGTTTCAAAAGGACAAAAGAGATATTCAGTAACTTAAACTAGTAAGTTTGATGTTGAAGAGGGTTACATGCTTATTTGATGAAACTAACAGCACACAAAGGTTGTTTTTATATTTATATCACTGACTCGCCGACCTGCCCCGGCGGAGACAGTACAAGTACACGTCTTGGAAATTAAACAAATTTAGACATTTTAAGTTGTCACTGTTGAAGTTTAATCACTTCTGCAGTTAAAACAAATTTTCTTTATGTACAATACAATATAAATAATTAACAATGCACCATCCTAACTTCGTAAGAAAAGGTCCGAATCTAATAATTTTTAAAGAAATTCGCCCTTGATTATGAAACTATTTAGCTGGATATAAGTATTGATATAATACGAATGTTACCTCTTTTCGATTCTATTTGTTTTAATTGGCTAATTTGACCAAAGAGCGGCTATTGTGACTTAACTATAGTAAAGTAATCTCCTCATAGAATTTCGAAAAAGATGATCGCATCCGGAATTACGATTGAAGAGAACAAAATACGGACTAGTTGGTCATGGTCGAATAGAGATCCGGTAGTACCAAAGTTTCATCTGCTACTGCGGCAGACATCATCAGTAGTATGTACATTGACTGCGAGGATGAAGGTTATATCAAGAAGTCCCAGCAGCGACGAATGGTACTACAGATTTCATTCGAAAACAGCCCACCAGCCCGATTCTGTTCTTTGATAAAGAGAAAAATCGTTATATTATTTGTTCCAAAAGAAACCGTTTCATTAAATGCAAGTAAATCCAGTTTTGAAATGAGGATGTTAAGGGAGACATGGTCAAAGGCTTTCGACAGATCAGATAACAGGTATCCAAAAAACTCGCAGGGTACCCGGTAAATACAATTCTTGGAATCGCAGTCCGCGTTTGGTGGCCTGGTTTTTGTAAGACTGCTACGGATAGTGTTCCCAGATCTGAAGCAGGTCCTGATGTTGTACTTGGACCCAATCCTTCTTATCCTTTCCGATAATCCTCTGATGTAGGGAAGTTCAAGTACTGGTTGTGGCGGCTTCTCTTCCTTGTGGAGTTCTTGCTGTCTTCTAGCTAAGGCCTGTTCTACCAACACTCTGGAGTAATCATTCCGTTTTAGGTCATTTTGATGATGCCTAGTTCATTTTCGAGACCTTGCTTTGTATTACAGAGCCCAAAAGCACGGTCTAATAGAGTCTTGATGATTCCTCTCTTAGTCGATTGATAGTGGTTGGATTTCTGGTTCAGATACTGTCCTGTGTGAGTGGATTTTCGATCCACCGGTCCTCTTCACCAATACGTCTAAGAAAGGCCATTCATTGTGGACTTCCTTCTCCATTGTGAAAGTGATGGAAGGACTTACGTTGTTGATGTGCTTCAGGAAGGTGTCTAGTTCTGCATTCCCATGGTTCCATATTATGAAGGTGTCGTCCTCGTATCTCAACCATACTCGAGGCTTTTGTAGGCTTTTTCAATGGCCAGAGTTTCAAACCACTCCTATATATTGGCTATAACAGGTGAAAGTGGCGATCCCATTGGCAGTCCCTCATCTTGCATAAAGAATTCGTCCTTCAGTTGAAAGTAGCAGTTTCGTACACAGCATCCTAGTAATTCCATGACTACTTGTATCGGTAAGTTTGTTCTATCTTTCAGGTCCCCATCTTCGGATAGCTTCTTCTGTTGTTCTTCTTCTGTTGTCTGTAGTCGTTTACCTTCAGTTCCTGGTTCAATACGCGTGCAGGACCAACTTATGTCGCAAAATAGGCCAGGTTGTGCTCTGCGAAAGACCAAGTTCTTGTTAGCGACGCGAAATCGACTGCCTCGGATTCTCCTGCACACTCTCACAGACAGCGGCGATTTTCTCAGCAAATATTGGTTTCGTCGACTTACGGGTGCTGGTCGATCGTTTACTGAACCAGTGGACTTGAATTTATCCGCCACATGCAAATAGTCCTCACGGTATGGCGACCGTAAAATGGGCGAAGCGTGTGCATATAAACTATAAAACCTCAAACGTTTTCATGTCAAAGATTGCTTATCAGATTTTGTTATAACATTATACAGTACAATTTGTTTGAATTCTATTATTTTTAATCGATATCTTGTTTACTCAAGTTAGACTTTCTCAAAGTTTTTTGAGAAGTAATTCGATTGTAGTTATGATTTGATTGTAGTTTTCATTTTCTTTCAGCGATTCTGAGATCACCGTCAAAACCAAGGAGGGCTCGTCCGAAAAGGTGAGGATCGTCGGCATAGATGACTACGGACACTTGAGAGTGAGAGCCCAAAACGGTTCCATCAGCACAGTCCATCCGGACGGCAACAGTTTCGATATGTTGAAAGGCCTTGTCTCTCCCAAAGTGTTCTGAATCTGTTTATCGAAACGAAATTTTTGGCTGTTGAAAGGTTTTTCAAGAACCGCATATCGAAGTTGTGATTTCAGAAAAGAATATGTTGTACTTTTAATGGTTATTGATGGCTTAATGCAAGAGTTCCGCCATTTTGTGAATGTCTACTTATACTTCTGTCTCAGTCCGGTTAAGATGTACTATCAATAGAATATATAGGAATTTTTTTCAATTATATCTCTTTTTAGGAAATACCAACAGTTTTACTTTGCAGCTATTATATACAAGGTGATAAGGAAATTATTGTACGCCTAGCGCCCTTCAGCTGTTTGTTGGATAACAAATGTGAAATTTGAAAAATAGCTATAGGTCGTTAAAGCCGATATATCTTACAATTACAGAAACAATTGAGAGTTTTTGGGCTTCAACCGGAAATGAACCTTGACCAACAGAACAATAAAAACCTTTATATTTTTTCAAACCAATATTATTCTCTATAGCGAATTTTTTCTATTTGCTTATGATCTGAAGATGTTCAAAATCAAAAAATCTTTATTTCCGTAGACCTAGGGAAGGCCTGGAAAAAGTCACATAACTCAGTACAATTACAATGAGGTCACAATCATAAAACATCATAAATATATGATATATTATATAACATTTAGACCATAAAAGGGATACAAAAATTAAAATTTAAAATTCCAAATCAGACTGAAAAAATTCATCAAGCGAATAAAATACCTTTTCACATAATAGTTTCCGAACTTTTTGTTTAAAGAGCTTTACTCTATTTATTTTTTTAATGGATATTGGGAACTTGTACAGTTTTATTGACATGATATGAGGTCCATTAGTCACCTTGGCTAACTTATGACTAGGAATTGAAATGTTATAGTTTTTTCTCAGGGTGAAGCCCGAAAGAAGACATGTATCATCTCTGTTCTGAAACTTTTTGATTTAACGTAGATTACGCAATTAAGAATATACATGCAAGTAACAGTTAATATATTCAACTTTGCAAATAGTGGTTTACAGGAATCGAGTGGTTTTTTAAAACAAATTGTTCTAATAATCTTTTTCTGGAAAATTAATAAGTCACTGATTCTATTGCAGTTGCCAAAACAAATAATACAGTAATTGAGGGCAGAGTAAACATATGCATAATAGTAACTTTTAAGAATTTCAATAGACACAAAATTACGTAGATTCCATATAACGAAACAATGTGTCGCTAATTTCTTCAGTATGAAATTAACATGATGATTCCAATTGAGTTGGGAATCAATAAAAACTCCTAAAATTTTTTTATAGTTTACCTGTTCAATACTTTTAATCTCAGACCCAACCAATACACTACAATCAGTTTCCTGAATTGTAAAGAGAATGGTGTTGTTGTTTTTAAGATTATTTAGAATCAAGCCATTCTCAGAACAATAATTTTGCATGTTGGATACAGCATCATCTGCTCTTACTGACAATGTTTCACATTCCGAACCACTAACAGTAAAAGATGTGTCACCAGCAAATTGTATAGAGCACTGTGGATGATTAATTTTTGAAAGGTCATTAACAAATAAAATAAATAGTGTAGGCCCCAAAACACTACCTTGGGGCACACCTGTAACAACGTTTCGAGATTCAAAGAACAATGACCCAGTCTGAAGCCTAACTTTAACAACGTGTGTACGACCAGTTAAATAGGTTTCAATCCATTTCAGACTTGGACCACGGACGCCCATGTCAAACAGTTTATCAAAAAGAAGACCATGATGTATGGTATCAAAGTTATTCATATGTATGTTCAGAGTTATTCATAACTCATCTGATACTGAATTGTTACAGAACGATTTATCTAACTTTGTATGCTAGTCCGTATAGAATCAAGCAATATCTTTACTGGAAACAACAAATATAATCAAAGATTTAGGAATCCCTGTTTTCTCAAAAATATCATTCAAACCCCATATTGCAAATGTTACTTCTAGAGCACTAAAAATGTTAGCTTTCACTCTTAGATCTGCAGAGGAATTATCTCTCTCTCTTCCTTGAAAATCATATATTGTTCAGTTCTTCTTCATTGATATTGATATGCTTGAAAGTGTTCAAAACAAGTTTTTAAGGTACTCTGCATACAAATTGGGATGTCATATTGGTGAATTCAACTATAAAATTATATTGGACATTCTTAACTTGAATACTCTGGCTCATAGAAGATTAGAATCAAATCTTGAACTAATTCACAGAATAATCAATGTCATCAGTTCATCAAAACTTGTTGAAATTATATCTTTAAATGTTAATCCAAAGAGAACAAGAAATACAGAAGTCTTTGAAATATAGTTCAGTGTTCATATAAAAGTATTTGTTTCGAAAGAATTTTTCTTCCGTGTAATTCAATGTTTATATGAAAGTAGCTGTTTCAGGAGGCCCGTTTTCTTTAAATTTTTGTCTGAAAGTTACTTTTTTGCATGATCTACACATTGTGTGAAAGTGTTAATTATTTTGTAGAAATAGGCAATGCCATAAATAAATAAATGAATGAAGAGCAACTATGACGTAATTAGTGAAAATATTGTTGAAGAATTTAATGCAGCAACAAACGAATAACGAAATGTTTTCGTAAATTAAGATTTATTCAATCTCTCCTAAATATCTTGAGAAGTAGTATTTTTACACCGAAGTGTACTTCGTTTACTATAAAAATTTTCAAAGATGCTATGTGATTTTTTTTTTGTGCTGCTCTATCCCATTCTCAGTTGATAACTAATTACTCCGTTTTTTAAGGGTACCTTAAAATGAACCGCATAATACGTTTTTTATAGTCTAAACTGAAGTTAGAAAATATTACATTCACTCAAAATTTTTGAGATGAATGATGTGAAAAATTATTTAAAAAATGGTACGCGAAGTAGTGAAAAATTTCAATCCTTGAACTTTTCCTTGAAGAATTAAGCAAACTTCATCGTTTGTTTCCCACAATACAGCTAAGCTGTATAAACATCTTCCTGAAATATTAACAACATTAGATCTATCGACATTAACAAATAACTATTGAAATCAATGCCAAATTTATCAAGAAACTTACAAATTCAATTATCATATCATGTCATGAATTACAACAAAATGAAAGAATAGGAGGGAGTTATTTAGACCATATCGCTTTTCCTGTAGAACAGCAAATAAGGAACTCGCATTCCCTGGGGTTTCAGTACGTATTCTTCCTGCACGGTCTTGACCGAAGAGTCGTCGTACCTAATCCAGCAATTGTAGCCGACGTGGAAGGCATCGGTCACGTAGTGTCCAATGTTGGCATTTTTGCCTTCGTGGTAAACGACGGCGAATAACTTGTATTGCTTCTCTGTTGGGAGACTGTGTTTTCGACGATACCAAAGTCTAATCAATCCTCAAGTCGAATTCAAAATCTAAATCTTATGCAACGGTCGTGGCTGTATTTGAAAAACTTCAGCTGCAAAATGAGGATAACGGGAAGTTTGAGAACGTAATTTGCTCCCATGCTTCGACCTTCTCGTTTGTTTTCGACGAAGTCAGTCCCTCTAAACTGTTCTTGGAGACAAGTACCTTAAGCGCTTCTCTGACGGTTTTCACTTTCTCAATGTTGAGTGGCAGGCGGGATATTCTCAGTTATGAGGTCCTCGTTGCGATGAATGTTCGACTTTAGTTGACCCCCAAAGATGTCACTTATCGGTGTACTGGTGAAGTCGAGCCTTCTGGTTGGATGTCCTTTATTTTTCGATTCCATTATTGAAATATACCTTTCAGATAAAGTGCACAGGTACCGCTCTTAAAGCGTCTTGAGGATGTTCCTGTAATTCTTGTGTTTTGTACTTCAACAAGAAAATGACCAAGAATATTTTTATATAGATTTAAAGTAAATTATTCGCATTCGATTTTCATTAAAGTCCCAACAGACTTCATATTTATAATTGTCTACCTTTTCTTCCTCAGACATACATATGTATATATGTTTATTGTGTAATACATCTGTTATCTGTAGAGTAGGGATGGTGAGTGTAGGCCCATTGTAGATCCTCCCGAGAAGTTGTCCTCCTAGGTCATCGTCCATCCTGTCCTTTCTAGGTAGACAGGTCACTAAGAGACATCTCCTTTATATCGTCAGGTTTAGGTCAAGACTCGCCGAACACACACCCGCTTTGGCAACCTTGAGGTGTCTCACGGCGACCACCGCGAATGTTTTGGAAGGTGCAGCGACATTACTGTCGTTGGGCGGCTTCTTCAACCTTCTTGGGGTTCCCTCCGTGGAGGTGCACAAGTGAGGAAGCTTTCCTGCAGAGGCAGCCGGTTCCTTGCCTTTATTCAAGGGGGAGCTCTTGGCACCCGCCGCAGGATTGGTTTTTGTTTTCGTTGTTTCTGTTTTTGTGTTTGTTTCATTCATGTGGGTTCCCATGAGCAGCTAGGGATTAGTTGGTCGCTTCTGGCAGAGCCAGAGATGACCAAACACCTCAGAGGTAGGCTGATTACATGAGGTTTTGCCTGGTTCCCCAAGGGGATCGTTCATAACCGCATATCACCCTGCGGCCATTCAGCTATCTGCACGATTCCTTACACCTTAGCTTGTGTAGGCTGATCCACTGTGGCTTTTGGGGTGTTTTAGTTCCCCTCACCCAACTTATTTCTGCCACTGACCAGGAATCCGGCGACTCCGTCCGTAACGCCACATGGGTTTCCCGGAAAGGGCCCCAGTCCTCTGGCCGTTCCCCTATCCGCCACCTGAGGACGCGACCGATAGGTAGCTCAACCCACGGGTTGTGTTATACATATCTGTATAAGTATAAGTAATGATATCTTTGAAATTTCAACACATCTGTTTTGGGAAATGTTAGTTACAAATAAAAGTAATTTCCTATCACGTAGTAACGGCTACATCCATCAATGTATTTTATATTGTCAATGAATTGATGGATGTAGCCGTTACTAAGTAGTAGAAGATCATCATAAAAATGAGATAAAAACCTTCTTATGTTTTAATACCACTTTGTATTTGTAACCAACGTTATTGCAGTTTCATCATATAAGGACGTTTTCAAACGAATACAATAAACTTATATACCTCTACAACCACTCTGGTAATAGCAGATGGTCCTTAATGACTTAATTACAATCTTGTCTGCTTTATCTTGGAGAAATCTTAACTTTATAAGCTCAAGTGTCTGGATTTTAATAGTGTTTATGTGAGACAAATCATTCCTCAGAATGCAACGACAAGTTCCCGAAT